GTTTGAACTTTCGATTTGAGTATGCAAAATCCCGGAAGAGCATTCAAACCCATATAAATAAAATTAGAAAAGAAAAAGTAAAAAAACCCAAACCAAACAAAAAGCCCCTCACAATAGTCTTATTATCCTCAAGCTTTTGAGAGCAATTAAGATAAAACAGAAGTCCTGACCACTGATAATGTTTTAATACTGCTTTGCAGCTGTTCCCTGTGTTGTGGGGGAGTGGAGTCATTGGAGTGGCTGTGCAGAACAATGTCATCCTGGGCTGCGGGTCCGCCGGCGCTATGTACAACAGGAGCCTCAAAACGGTGGGGAACCGTGCCCAGCTCTGGAGGAGAAGGCTGGCTGCCTGGAGTACCTGACTTACCAGGGGGAGGACTGTGGCCACGAGCATGGTATTCTCAATTGCATCTCTCTGCTGTATATTGTGTCCATCACAACCATCATAAATTTTACTGATGTCAATGAACAGCAAAAAAACAAGCATCTATCTGCAGTTAGCTGGTTAAAATTATAATTTAGGACTTTCTGCTGTCATATTGCATTTTATTCAATAATTTGTTTTTCTACTCTGGCTTTTCTTAATTTCAGTTAAGCAAACAACTAAGATGTGTGCATTCTTCAGTTGATCAAAGTATCAAATTACCTCTGTGTGAAGTTAGAACACAAATTCACTATGAAACAGGAAATAGTACTCCTTGTGGGATTCCAGTACATCCTATTTCCTCACTGGCTAGATGGCATGCATTATTAGATTTTTTTTTTCTGAATAAAGAGAGCTTAGCTGTAGGGAATGGGGTTGAGGTCCAATGTTGCCAACATTTTATCACTTTTTCAATAAAGTGAGCCAGCATCGCCATCCACAAGCTCCTGATTCATTCACCCACTGTTACAGGAATTGCAATATGACTCAGCTGTGCCTTGCTGTTTTACCATAACTGGTTTTTTCCTCAGTCCCTGCTTTCATAACTACCTCTGAATACGGTAAAGAAAGAAAAAGACGAGCAGCATCTTCTCTCTGGCCTTCAGACAAAGAAGCAGCAGGGTAATCTATTTATCATATGTATGTGGGTCATCTTGTTCAGTAGAAAACAGCTGTCTACAGAGAAAAATGTAATTAAATTTGCAATCATTAAACAATAAGCTATAGCTTGTACTGGTTTTCTCTCCCGCAGCTTATTTGCATGTTCTAGATATTGTTTATTGCTTGCTAATTGTCCTGAATTAGACATTGGGATCATGGCAGGTCTGATGATAGCTGCTTTTGAAAGCCAGCAGTAAACAATGCTAAAACAAAGCTGAATGTATCCTAAGTGTAAGTCTGAGAAATTAGACGTAGGTCTCTGAACAACATGGGCTGAATGGGATTGGTCTCAAGAGACCTTTTTTTTTAAACTGTTTGACACAAGCAGTAAGAAATTTTGTTTAGTTACCAGTAGAGATGGTAATGAAGTTTAAATTAGGCTATTACTGGGTCTGTAATGCCCATAATGTTTTGTCCTGTGCTATTTTTCCTAGAACAATAAAACTCATTGATATTCTTAAAGTCTCTCTTCCATTTTCTTTCAGCAGCATAGAAGAAAAAATATGGGTTACTGAGATCTGTTTTTCAAAATAATTTAGGAATACAGAACACTACAGAAAGTGAGATTATACATGAAACACTGGACTGGGGCATAGAAAGAGAAATAGTTTGCATAATGTTTTTAAGAATCTACTGATTGGGTTAGGGTCAGAAGATTTGTTAGCAATGATGATGTCTAACTTGCACCACCCTTACGATATGTAAGTCCATTCAAAGTGCCTACTTAGCTCATGCTTGATCTCTCATGATTTGGTGCTTTTCCTCCGGAGCAGATACTGCGTGGAGTTCCGGACGGAATCCCTTTCCCAGCACTGTGCTTTGGAGACGCGCCCGCACGCGCGCTGGATGCAGTACCTGCGCGAGGGACACACCGTGTGCGTGGCCTGCCAGCCGCCGGCCATGGGCCCGGCCACGCGCCGCTGCTCCGGGGACGGCCACGGCGCACACGGGTGAGCCAGACCCAGCACAGGATTCAGACTGCTCAGGGTATCTCATTACGAGATGCATTAAATGGATCTAAAAGATGGAACAGCTCAAACCGTTTGTAGAGCTCAGAAGGTTTTATCCTTTCGCTTCTCACAGAAATTGCTTTTAAAACCTTGATAAAATTGGGAAGTCATTTTAACATAAGAGTTTAATGCTTTATTCACTATTGTGAAGAAGTGATGGAATTTGTGTAGTGGAAGAGGACTTTTTACAGCTGTGTGCACTTTTACTTAAAAACGGTATTTCCTGCCATAGTCCAAATCTGACTGCAGATTTAACAGTGGTGGATTGGTACTCCCCTCAAGCATATAATACCTGGTTTTTAGAAAAGTAATTGTGAAAGCAGATATTTATTATTAAAGTAGATATTTATTATTCAGAACTGATTTTTATTTGATCCATACATTTATTAATATGCATACTACTTAATATAACCAGCTGCTCAACCCACCATCCTGGATATTCCGCTTAGTAATAGAATGTCTGCTCCAGAAAGCATTTTAAGAGCTAGATGAGTTTAGTAAAGCCTTACATGATTAAATCTTCTGACATTTTATACAACACAATCCAGGAACACTAAATACACAGTTTTACTCCTCTTATTTTATATTTATTCTCATTTCAGAGATAAAATCTTACACTGGGAAGCAATTGGCAACTCTCAGTGCCAAGGAACCTGGAAGAAGATCCGGCAGCTGGACCACTGTTCCTGTCCCCTGGTGCATAGTTTTATTTTTACATGAAAGTTTAAAAGGCCTTTAAAATTGCAACAAAAAGACTAAGAAAATTAACACCAATGCCAAGAAACCTATGTATTTCTGCTGTATTTCTGGAGCCTTAACAAATTTTAAATGAGTCAGGACTTCAGCAGAATCATTTCAGGAAATTCTCTTTGCCTTAATACAAAATGCAAAGACTGATCTCTGTATTAGAACACTAGAAGCATGTTACCATGTTTCTCTTTTGTAATTAAAGAGCTAATGTTTCTAACCATAGTGGTTGCTTTCCTTTAGTTCTCCATCTTTACTGGCCATAGCCCTGTCTCCAGGCAATGCTCCTACTCAGTAGTGAGCCAGCCAAATATTTTCAAGTCTGAGAATAGTTACTGTCAACATTTAAGAGCAAGGGTGAATAAAAATGAAGTTTTTGAAAGCTAAAACTGATTTCAGGTTAGGTACTTTGTTCCTCTCCAGTATCATCTAGACAATTTTTTACACTATAATTGTGTAAAGTATTCTTCCTCTACCCTGCAGTTTTCACGTTCAGCCTTCATGAAGACATAGACCTAGTCAGCATTGTTAAGGAATTGGTCTCCTCAGAACTTCATGTCATTAATACACAGTGTAACTTCTCTGGCAGATGAACTTAGACAAGACCTCGTGACTAAGCCTTGGCTAAGAGTAAAAAAATTACTTATTACTAGTTAAAAATGCTTATCTACAATGATTAACATATGAACCTGCAACAGCTGAGCACAGGCAAGACTGCTATGCAGGTGGAGAAAATTTCCTGTTAAGACAGGTGGCATCTCTCCATACAGCATAAAGACTTACTAGGAGAAGCCATGGAGTCTCTTAGCAAGAGTGAGGAAGGTGATCTGCATGAGGTTCTGTCCACAATAAGTGTGTTGTGATACAAACCTTTAAACTGCATTTTACTACTTTATTGTAATGAATGCAAGCCTCCAAAATAGAAAGCAGAGATTATTTTAATACTTTCTGAATGTTTTAGACTTCATAACTATATGTTTTCCTTTGTAATGGGGAACATTATCTCAGAGAGCTTTGTTTTAATATGACCAATTCAGACAGGTGCTTGTTCTTAAAAGGTTATTGGAAAATAAAAACCTTAGCCATGAAAAAAAGGTACAGAAAACATCTGAATTCAGGGGATTTTACTTTTAAAAGAATGCTGTATTATGTTAGTTCAAGTCACTAGATTCACACCAGTATGACAGTGGAATGCATGAGTTTTCTGAGATTGTGGAAATCTCTTCCAAATGATCTGAATCCAGAGATACAGGCTAGTGCCATCATCCATCTGTCCCAGTCTCCCATGAGCAGGAGAGTTGCAGTGGCCAGCAGAGACCTTGATAGTGACCTCCATTAAAATGTATCTTTGCTGTCACTGACAGTGTAGACTCATTATTGAGCCCCACTTTGGCCATGTGTTTTTGAGCTTTCCCTTTCCTGCTGGTCTGGAAGAAGGCATGGATCAAGACAAGGTAGGTGTCACAAGCTAACCAAGAAATGCTAAGTGCTAGTGTAATAGGGCTCCTTTCCATGTAAAAAACTAACCAGTCCCTTTGTTACTTAAAAATACGATATTATATGAATTTACGCTTTTTAACTGCAGAAAAAAACCCCAACAAACCATCATCTCAGAAAATTAGCAATACTAATACATACATACTTCTTGGTAAAACTTATAGAAATGTCAAGTCTGACCTAAATTTCAAAGTGAAGCAAAACAAATTAGAATGGGTTATATGGCAGGAAGTAAAATTATGAAAAGGTCAATCTAAAAAGAGATACAGCCCTTTAAAAATACAGAACATTTGACTTTTTATTAGCCTCCATCAAACTAAAGATGTCGCCAGTCAGATCTAATACCCCTATTTACATAACAGACATTTCTTAAATCACTGCAAACATTTTCACATTTCAGAATCTAGGTTATCTGTTATTGCATGTAGCAAAAAAGGCCAGACTTTACATTTAAGTCATCATTACCAGAGTAGGTAAGCTTACACAAATGTTTTATACCTATTACTATTCTGTTTCATGTTTTATGACAGCAGCACTGCTGGACACTCTGAGACTAAAATAAGATGTTATTCTGAAAAGCTAGAGTAGGTCCTTATGTAGGGAAAGTTATGTACTTTCCTTATGTAGGAAAACACATGAAGAGTTGGTTCCTGTAGTCCAAATCAACTTTGTTTCATCTTGCTCAATGTTCTCCACCGGTCTTTCAACATGACACCTGTTCGGTTGTCGAAGGCACCATGGGCTAAAATTTTAGCCCAGTTACCCACTCCAAACTCCTTTACTCCCAGTTTCAGCTCCAGGTCTTCTTTCGGAGTCCATTTCTAGGGCAAGAAAAACAGCAGATTTTTGAACAGAGAAAGGTATTAATGTGAGAGCTTATAGCAAATATAAAAGCAAGTTTTCAAACAGCTCTCTAATTGTTAGAGTACACATGTCAGAGGGTTTTTTTTGAGCACCGTATCTTGAAACTAGAGATAAATGATACATTTTTAACTGAACCTGTAGAGCTTTATGGGGGCTCCCAAAGGGGATCTCTGTTAATAAAGCCCGGGGTTAATTGGAGTAACAGGATTGGAAGTAAAAAATGTTTATAGAACATTACAAGAGTCATAAGAATTGTAAATGGCTGAATCTGACAGCCTAAAATTTATAGCTTGGTGGAATAAAAGGTTGGTTTCCCAGAGTATGTATAAAACCTCCTCCTCTAAGTAACAGATCACTTCCAACTATCAAATGGATAAATGGTGTTGGCTGTAGAGCAGAAGGGAACGTTACAGAATCATGTTATGGCTCACCTTTACAATTGAAAACTTCAAAATTGTAGAGAACTGGGCACAAAGGGAAATGCAGGTGCAAAGGAATAGCCTCAGCTTAAAGCCAGCTAGTAGATCTGGTAAGTGCAAGGAAATGTGAATTAAAGGGGGACAAACATCACTTAACTCTGAAAATAATGTACCCAGTGGAAATGTAAATTTTATGGCTGCTGCCATTACACAAATGCATACCCTCCTGCTTGCGCACAAAGGGAGGATGAGCAGCAGGAGCACACAGCCAATATGACTGTCAGTGGCACAAGAACCCACATCCATGGAAATAGGAGGAAAAAATAAATTTATTTCTTAATGACAGGGAACCCCTTTGGGATCTTTGAAAGATTCTGCTCTTGTAAGCATCATCAGTACAGTCTCTGGCAGGGTGGCAATTTTAAGTGCTCTTCTGCATGGTTCCACCCTTCTGTTAATTTAAACTTCTAAAAATTGCAGCAGGGCTCAGACATGAAAGACAAGGGGGAGCCTCTGAGTGGGAAGGAACTTAGATAACATTCAGCCTCAAAACTGTGACAGATCAAAACTGTATCCTGGTTTTTCTCCAAAAGGGGAAAATGTGGCATCTACACAAAGTGCAAACTGAGGTGTATAAAGACCAAACTTCAAATCTCAAAGCTGGATTTATTCCAGCTTAATGCAAGTATCAGGGCCCTTTCAGTAAACTCTGATCACTGACAAACCTCACTAAGCAGTGAAAGAATTACAAGTAATAGTAGTTAAACTGTATTTCTACACAGTTAGGAACCTAAAACTTCTCTAAAGTAGTTTACCCTTTATCAAAAATACTTCCTTTTTCTAATTCTTCCTGTTCCACAGATCTTTTGCAACATTAGCAGTGAATAGCTTTTTTTTCTACTATTATTAAAAGGCCAGAGATTCCTTTGGAATAATGTAGTTCATCTCATTTCAGAGCATGCCAGAAAACTTTACTAAATAAAATCTTTATTCAAGTAACACAGTTATGCTTGACCTACAGCACCAGATAATTCAAATACTTTCATCAAAAGAGACAATCACAACCCTTGTTACTTGCAATGATTAATTACATTTGCTGTAAAAGGGTTGTTTTTAGCTTGTTTTGATTTTTAATTGCTCACATTGAGCTTTTTTAAAAAAACCAATTTCTTCCATTTATTGTATAAATGAGGGCCTGCTTTACAGGTAAATCAGGGACTGACTCTTCATTGAGGAACAGAACAGAGCAGTAACTTGCCCCCTGCCCCACTCACTGACCAGCTCTCTGTCCCCTCTGGGACAGAACTTATGTAGATTCCAGCTCTGCACTGTTACAGGAGTGGTTGAAAGCCTGGACATAATGCAGCACTACGCTTGAGCTCACAGCAGCACAGTGCCTGGTCCACAGCTACAATGTGACATCTGGCCAGCTCTGAACACCAGCAGAGCAAGCTTCAGTTTGCCAGGCAGAATGTGAAGGCATTCCCTCACAAATTTGAAGATCTCGTTATTCCTTTGAGTCAGTTCTGCTCTAGTAACCCGTCTTCCTTTATGCATTAGGGGACTCTGCTCTGAGTCAGAGCTTTTTCTCCTTCAGCTTTAAATATATGATTTTTTTTCCATACAAGTCTGACAAAACTCTAAACAATCAGATTTTCAAACACATTGCTAATTTAAATCAAGTATCATCTAGATTTTAGACAACTCAAAGGACTTGCCATATAGTTACTAGATATAAAATTGAGTACAAACAGTTCTCTAAATTCTGTGACACTTGCATCCCCTAATTTAGGAATGAGAAAATAAAGTATGTGTCCTTTCAATAGCACTGCAGATTGTTCTATGCAGCTAACTGAAAACACTGCAATGAAAGGCTGAAAATGGGCACTGAACCATTGCAATGAAATGCCATTTACAGAACAAGAGCAAACAATGCCAACATTGAATGAGGGACTACATGGAAAAGGAAGTTCTAGAAGTCAACAGCTTGACATTCATTGCATTCTTTCATGCATGTGGACAATTTTATAACCCAGATGATTAAGCAGAGGAGCAGATTTATTGTTTAAAAGGCCAATTATCATTGCTTTCTATAAAACATTTATGAGGTTTTAGTGGTAGGGAGTAAGGCATAAATATAACAGAGGAGCAGATGCCTACAACTTTTCTAAGTGTTGAAAGAAACACAGTTCTGAATCTTAAGTTTCATTGAAGTTCTTTTAACATTTTCAATGCCCCTGTCAGATGCAGTTCTCCACAAATTTAGTCTTTATATTTCAATTAAGGCTGAACTATAACAACATAATTAAGCAAACAACTTCTATTTTTTTCCAACAAGATGTGTGTGTAAGCCCTAGACCTAGACACAGTGCTTGTAGGTGACCCAGTAACAGACTAGCTCAGCATAAAAATATGTGACTACAAAGCTTTCATTAGCTCTGTGTCATTGTGCTCCAAACAGTTTAATTCTTGATGTTGAAAAGAAGCTTGATGGAAGGGCTCATGCTTACCAGCAACTGCCTAACAAGGTACCTATCCAAGTATATGCAGGAATAAAGTAATTTTGTCTTTAAAGGCAAAAAGCAAATCCAGTAAGTGATTTGCTTTTTTTTTTTTTTAGGGCACTGGTTTTATCTGCAGCTTTTAAACAGATTGTCAGTGATCTAACTATTCCTGAGATTTGTGAGAAAGTGAAAATCTCTTTATAGGGGCTTAAGCTTCAAGAATGAGGTCTCATTAGGACTTCAACTCATTTGAGGACAGCATGTAACTGAAGATTTAATCAGTACATCAACTTCTGTAAAAATGCTTAAAGAAATAGGAGGAAGTATAACTCTCCTCCAGAAAAAAAAACCAAAACCGATTTGGTCTTCCCTGTTAGATGAAAAATGAAATATCAAAATGAACACCAGAAAAATGAAACACCTCACATCAAAATGGAGATATGATGATAACTTGTACTATAATCTAAACAGAAAGATTCCACATTGCTTCCTAAGAGATATTATGAAGAGGAATCCAACAATGGCAATACGCATATTCAATGTTAATTTTTTCAGTTACCATGATAAAATGCTGAATGCTCATGAAGGAAAATTGGCTATAATCAAAAATTAGCTTGAAAGACCCCAACATCAAATCAACTTCAAATTGCATTCTATTAAGGCATACACTTCTGCACATCCTACCAGTGGGAATTCTAGCATTAGTGAACACAGTAGGGTTATTTTAATGTAATTCCATGAAGTAGGCTTACCCGTGAAGAGTGCACAAAGGACCATTTGAAATGTAGCATTATAAGAAGACCCTACCATTTGGTTTATAAGAACTAGAGCAGTTTCCCAAGTAAATGTTTTTACATCACATAAAAAAGTATTGAGTTATAAAACTGCTAAATATTTAAGCGTCTAAGATGGAAAACGAGTTGCCTCTGATAATTGCCCAAAATTCTCACAGGCAAATGACACCCAGAATTCTTTAATCCAAGCTGTGGAAAGAATTTTTTATTTCACACTAAGCTTTGGTAATGGTGTATTTCAACAAATAAAAGCCTTGGAAGCATTAGCAACAGCAGTATTTGAGACAGTAAAAATATGTTATATTTCCTGTCTTTAAAAGAACAGGACTGTAACAATTTCAGGAACTGTAGCACTTGAGTAAGCTACAGAATCTTAAATCTAAGCAATAGATTTAAAAATCAGATTAAAGCTGAGAAAAAAAAATCTGTGCATGGAGATTCATTTTATCTCTGTTTAGAAGAGAGAATAGGTACAAACCTGTCTTCTTCGGCTACATGCTAAAGAAACTTCATTTTGTCCCACATTTTGCATGCTGGTAAGACCTAGAAGACAGTTAAATCCAAAACAAAGAGGAGTCAACATCAAGGCAGCAGTTTTGCATTTTACTATTTAGACCTGACAAGATGTACACTATTTTGATTTGCTTTGACAGATTGGGAAAATTTCAATGTCTCTTTACATACATACTTTTATAAATGAATACACATGAACCTTGCCATAGTCCAAGGGCTTCGAAAAACAGGCTATTCAAAAAACCCACCCTAATTTCTGTACAATAGAGTTCACAGAATTATATTTTAAACACTTAGATAAAAATTGGTACATAATAACAAAACATTTGATTTTGGTAAAAACATTTTTACTATATGCACTAGTTTCATTTTACATAGAATGGGAAGTAAGAACCAATCAGAGCTATGATTCTTTGTATACAAATTCCATCATTTCCAAGTAGATTTATCAGGTTTTAACTGCAACAAGCATTCAAGGCATCTTAAGAGTTTGTCCTTCCATGTACAACATGGTCATGGTGCAGGAACTATAACATCATCTTGCTGTGGTAAGAGTGTGCTAATGGTCTTAAGAACTTACTTATAACTATTATATTATCTGTGTCAGGTTTTTAAGTAGTAATACCAGGAAATCACACAAACATCCTGACTTTGTACATTTTACAATACAATTTGTTTTTCCAATCAGCTAACTTCTTTAGTTCCTTCCCAATCAAGTTATCTAGTACAGAATTCAGAAAGAAATTAATTTCAGTACTCCTGTCAGCTTTCTTTTGGACAGGATACCATAAGTCCTGTAAGCCAACCAAGGAAACCAGAAAATAGTCAATGATTTTTCAAAATTAATTGCTGGAGAACCTTAAGCCACTTCATAGCTTCCTAAATATGGCAACCACAAAATTTGCATTTGTGCAGAAACCATACACAACTTGGAGTGTTTTCATCCATCACAACCATTTCTGCATTATTTTTAAGTACTATCCAATGTGATTGGATTAAGTGTTTGAAAGTGTAAAAATAAACTAATACTCACTCTGAAGAACTCTGCTCTCTTTGGGCTTCTGTCTTGAATGTCTCCTGCAAAGAACACAGATCTGAAGTAAAAATACAAAGTACTTGATGAAAAGTCTGTGACCAGAGCAATAACACAAATTTCTTCACCTTGCTATGGGTTTTATTATGACTCCAGATGACTGACTTGTGATATACTGTTTCTCTTTCACCAACCTTAAAAAGAAAAGACAAAAAAATTATTTCCTAGGCAGCAACTTGCCATTTATACGACTCAACAATATTTTAATGAAAGAATCCAAAGACTTCTCTGTAGAAGCAGTGGCATACAATAACTGACGGCATCAATGCATTCACCCTCTTGACCTTGCCTCCCTATACCTGGAGGAGAAATACAGAATCTGCCGAGTTGGAAGGGACCCACAAGAATCAGTGAGTTCAGCTTTTAGCTCTGCACAGACATCCCCAGGACTCACACCATGTATCTAAGGCCCCTGTGCAAATGTTTCTTGAACTTTATCAGGTTTGGTAATGTGACCACTTCCTTGGATAGCCTGTGCCCAAGACATTTAAGTTGAAGATAAGAGGCATTTTGCACTTCTCTTTTTCATTAGGAATTATTTCCATAGGTATTTTTGAACGAGTCTTTAATCATATCTCTCAGATGTGTCAGGAGCTGCCCTTCTAAAAAAACAAATTAAAAAATAAATCTTATGACTTGTCTTTCTCTATACTATCTGCATCAGTGTTTTCTTAACTAAATGATGCCAAGTATTCCAAGTATAAAAATGAAGAAATATAGACTCTATCCCAGCTAAAGCCAGCAATTTATTCTCCCTGAACAAATGGTGATAAACCTAGAATATTAGCATTTTCCAAAATAATCATGTAATTGTTCTGAAGGTTTGCACTGTCAGAATCATGAAGCAATGTAACTATTTCCCTCCACACTAGTATCATTAAGGGGTCAGCTGTAAGAAAAATGTAAGACTTAATAAATTTCCTTATTCTTTTTCTTCTTGAGATGACCTATAGCCTGAAATTAGAACTAAAAGGAGTTCAACCAAGCATTAAAAAAGCAAAGTCCTTTTTGTACTTATATTATTATGGACTGACAGCTGTTTAAACTGCAAATTGTGCAACCTCACAAATAATTAAACTTAATGACGAGCTTTTTCATGTAAATGCCAAAAGTAACAACCACAGAAGAACACAAATTTAAAGAAAATAGGGGATATGCTTGTAACTAATTTTCTATTGGACAGCAATTTGGAATTTAGTGGCCCCCCCCTTTTACCTACTCTTTGATCTACAAGTTTCATGTTACTGTCCAAGTACATCCCTTAGCAGTATAATACTTAATAACAAACCTATGTTTTGTTTCCAAATCACTTCTGCCATTTTCATTGACTTTCACAGGTCTGTTCTGCAATGTTGTTGCTCCCAAACCTTTAGATACCACATGTTTTGTGGCTTCCTGTGAGAAATAGAACTGATATGTTAAAATTAAAGCCAGGCAGTACCTAGATAGGAGTTTTCACTAAGTTTAACATGCATACTTTTTATTAGAACTAGCAGTGCTTATTTGACAGACATTTCAGAGGTATTAACATTAAAGAAGTAGTTTCAAAACAACTTTAGCATGTTAAGTTGAAATCCATAAAGATCTTTATCAACTAATAACTTGGAGAAATTTTAGTCATAGCTGCAACTGATTTTTATATGGACACAAAGAAATACAACAAATAGTTGCATAAGGAGTGAACTTAAAAATGTGTCAAGTAAATTACAGAACTTAACTAAGACTGAAAATACTATCAAAGTACTCCAAAGTCTGGTTTTTATAACTAGGTTAGAAACTAAAACTGACAGGTGTCAAGTTTATCTAGTTCTGTAGCACATGGCAGGACAAAGCATACATGTAGCATGTTCAAAAGACATGTCTAAGCAGAATTGAGGCTTGTAATAGAACCTTTTTTGCACTGGCAAAAAATATTTCTAACATCCTGCTCAAACTTCTAGCCACAAACTAAAATTATTTCTCCTCCATTGCCAAGAGAAGGAAGTAGTAATCCATTACTCCTTATAGAGTACCTAAAAGGACCTCCTACACTGAATAATGATGGGACTTTACCTCTTACCAGGGCTTGTAGAGGTAGGACAAGAGTTAATGGTTTTAAACTAAAAGAGGGTAGATTTGGACTAGATATAAGGAAGAATTTTGTTTTGTTTATGATAGAGTGGCAAAACATGGAACATTCTGCCCAGCAAGGTGGTTGATGTCTGATCCCTGAAAACCTTCAAGGCTGGGTTGAATGGGGCTCTAAACAACCTGATCTAACTAAAGATGTCCCTGCTTACTGCAGGGTTGCTTATTGTGGGTTGGACTAAACTACCTTTAAAGATTCCTTTCAATCCAAATTACTCTATGATTATACTTCTACATCTGGCACTAGAAGAAAGAGAAATTAGCAGTTAAAGCTAGAATGTTCTTCTGCAGAGAAGACAGGGTGCACTGCTGGGAGACCTGAGTGCTGCACAGAAGTGGGAATTCCTCACAAAGTTCTCTCCTCCATGTGCCAGAGTAACTGTTCAAAGTAAGATTTGCAATGTGGGTGACAGCAGGACAAACATGCAGGCAGTGGGGATGCAGGCAGTGAGGGCCTTAGGCATGTTAGTATGGAATTCTGGGCCTTCTCTGACACCTCCAAGGCTCCGCTTCCTCTTAGACTCAAAGAAAGAGCCTTGAAAAATAAACTTGAAAACTGACATTCAAGTGAAACCATTAAAAAGTACTCCTTGTATTATACTTTGAGTGCATGTAATAAGTTGTCCAGTCTCTCTGGTAAGAGAATGAAAAACACAGAGGAACTTCAGGATTGTTTATTTAAAATTTGCTTCTTATTACCTTTAGACGTCTGTGCTTTTGTAATTGAATAATTCAATATTCCTTTATACGAAGTAAACATAAGAGAAATTCTTTACAATCCTCCTGAAGATGAACTGAAGAAGGAATGTTGTTCTTGCCAATTTTAAATCACTTTTGAGCAAGACTGTTTGCAAGGAACATTTGTATTTACAGGAAAACAGCAATAATAGTTTTCTATCTCCTAACTCCCCTGACATTCCTAAAGCTTTTATTCAAATTAACAGGTCTTGATTTTTTTATCTTTAGTATGGGAAGACATGTAGGCTTAAATAAAATAAGCATTAAATATAAAGCTACATTTTCAAAGGAGTCCCATATCAGAACTGCATCTCTTAAGAAGCTCTTGTTTTAATTACACTAATGTCCTAACTATTTTTCTAATCAAAAAGTTGTGGGGAAAACATTCATAGAAGATATTTAAGAGGAGTCTCTTTCCTACTAACTTCCTCCAAGACATATTAATTAAAACAAAAAGGTTGAAAACAAGACAATCCAAAGGAAGGCAAAGTTTCCCTTTAATCTAATACAGTAATTGAATATTGCCCAAACAACTCCCTTGGAAGGAGAAATCTATTTAATTGTATCAGGTAAATTTTTTCAAAAGTTTTTAAAATACTTTCAACATACCTGTGTTAAGAAGTTAGTTTCATTTTCTTTCATGAAAAGTTCAATGTAAGACTTGATTTTACTTATCAAAAGACTGTAACTGAAGCTTTGGAGAAGAGGAACATATGGATCCCTGGTTTTAATTACGGTTGCCAGCTTCACCCTTAAAGGCTAAGAAAAGCACAGCTTTATACAACACAATCCTGCAGCAAACTTGGTATCTGTGCTAAACAGGAAATACAGAAAGCTCAACATGATGATTATACAGTTTCCTGCATATCCCTACACAGTTCATGTTGCAGTTTGAAACAGTTCTAGAGTCACCTAGACATTATGCCAGCTATTTACCTTATGTGCTCATAAATGGTCAAGTGTAACTGACCAGAGATTTACATTTTCATTTCCTTTATGAATAACACTGAAAGCAGGGCTGTCAGAGGAGGAAAAACACCCAGAAAAAGCCACCCATTACTCAGTTCTCTCTTCTCATTTGCTGTCTCAAAAAACTGCCATTGAAAGGGCTGTACAGTATTCAGGAGAAGGAAAACTTAGTACAGCAGCATTAAGGATACATCAATATTGATAATTAGAAATTCTCATTTTGTCTACCAATCCCTTTGAATTTTACAGAAGCCAATCCAGCCAGAGAATTATCTTCTGTCTATAGGTTACATTTTTATTCATGAATTTGAGTGCTATTACCACAATCTACACTTTCCAAACATCCAAATGCTCTGAATGAGAGTGTGTCTGAAGAGTAAGTTATACACAGGCTACTACTTACGTAGAACATGTGTCCTAATATACCAGTTGAGGATATAGGAAGCATTTTTAACTTCTCTTCACCTACAGTTCTTCTGTTGCTCTTTTCTCTACTCCAGCAAATTCAAGTGTGTGCACTAACTGTCATATTAGAGAGTTATTCACTCAAACTTGGAACTTTCTGAATGATGCAGTCAACTGCAAACCAGGAGGTGGCCTAACTTATATGTTGTCTTTTCCTGTCAGAGGCATAACAGCATTCACTCTGTACTACAGAAGCTAATGAGTTTTACTTCCCTGGGATGCTTTGGTACATAGAACACTAATCAGGGGTGACAGAGTCCACTACAATTGAAATGTGCAAATTGGCTGTTAGTAGTCAGCACTATCAAATTCCCAGAATTTGTAGTGCCATCTCACTCCTCATATGAAGTGGAAGAGGGGATGAAGGACAACTCCTGCTAAAAGCATTTTACTCCCACAAAAATCATCCCATTTGTCTATCAATATCCTGGCCACAAATTTCCTTTTGTATTCTAAAGAGACATAGGTATGAAAGTGACTGCACAGACAATAATGAGATTGAAGTTATGCAGGTAGGATTTGCTAGCTTTGGAAACCAACTCCCCTTTTTCTCCTCTGAAAGTCAAGACCTTTTAATGCAATTTAAACAAGTTACTACCTTATCTGATTCAGAGTCTGTGAACAGCCTTTCAAGAACTTCAGCAGCTTCCCTGAAATACCTGTTTTCCATATGGACTGCTACAATCTACAATATAATTAAAAGATATGATTAAATACTTTCCACCTGAGATTCAGAAAAAGCAAGAGAATTCACAATTCCACAGTTTTCTAAGACTCCAAAAATTCAGTTTATATATTTAAGGGTTACTGACACATATCTACTTCTAACAGTTAGTTCTGAAATTAGTTTTGAAATTTTTTTCAATTGGTATCTTTTTCAGATTGTACCAGTTAAAATTTGTTTGAAAAACTGCCAAACAGGAACTATATGAGATAAAAAAGGTGCCCTGTACTGATCTATTTACTCTATACTAAAACTGAAAATTCAGTTCAGTCTGCTAATAGCCCAAGATTTTGGTAAAAAGGGCTCTGTTTTAGTAAGATAGAATTTTTAAGGCTGGAAAAGATCTTTAAGGTCATCAAGTCCAACCATCAACCTAACACACACCACCATGTTCACCATTAAACCATATCCTCAAGTGCCATATACACATGTTTTTTTCAAACACTTCCAAGGATCATGTCTCCAGCAATTCCCTGGGCTGTCTGTTCCAATGTTGTGCAACCCTTTGTGTGAAAGTTTTTCCTTATACCCAATCTAAATCTCCCCTGGCACAACTTGAGGCCATTTCCTCTCATCCTGTCACTAGCTACCTGGGAGAGGAGACAAACTCCCACATGGCTCCCGTCCCCTTTCAGGCAGTTGTAGAGAATAACAAGGTCACCCTGAGCCTCCTTTTGTCCAGGCTAAACACTCCCAGCTCCCTCAGCTGCTCCTTGCAAGGCTTGTGCTCCAGACCTTTCACCAGACCTTTCCCCAGCTCCTTTGCCCTTCTCTGGACACTGTCCTCTTCTCTGGACACTCCCCAGCACCTCAAAGTCTTTCTTGTCCTGAGGGGCCCAGAACTGAACACAGGATTTGAGCTGTGGCCTCACCAGCACTGAGCACAGGGGACAATCACTGCCCTGGTCCTGATGGCCACACTGTTCTGGATACCAGCCAGGTGTCACTGGCCTTCTTGGCCACCTGGGCACACCCTGGCTCTTGTTCAGCTGCTGTTGACCAGCACCCTCAGGCCCTTTCCTGCCAGGCAGCATTCCAGATACTCATTCCCAATCAGTAGGTGGCATCCTGAAGCATTATGAAGAAGTCACACAGACCTGAATTTGAATCAAGCGACGAATTTCTTCATGAAGTTTTTCCAGTTTAATTTCTTCCCTTTCAAGTAAAGTCCAGAAAGACAGAGCAGATTCCAAAGGCGAAATTCTTTTATCCTTTTCAAACTGTAATCCTTAGAGGGAGAAAAAACCAAAGTACTCATAAAAATTAAAGGATAAAGTTAAATAGATCACAGTATGCAGTAATATGCAGTAAAGTAATATGTACTATACAATTTCAATTCCTTTCTCCTCAAGTTTTAGGTGTTTAAGAAACCCAAAGCGACAGTCTTCTTTTCGGAGACTGGGTCTTCCTACCCTTGCTACTAACATTACTGATGCATTTTCAGGGGCTATTATGTCAGCTAATCATTGTTCACTTAAAATGCCACTTGCAATTAGGTATTTGGTCTGGCATTAATAATGCATTAAACTTAGCATGAGATTTCACAACATTTGATATTGATACTATTAATTTTGTAATACAATCACCATGGTAAGTTGTTTTTTCTTCCTGTGTCTATCACTATTACCATGTCTTAACTTTCTGTTGTATTTGAAGTGCTTAAACCAAGAGGGAAACTCAAACAGGCCTACACAGGAGTGTCACTTAAAAAGCAGAAGCAACTCCCCATGCCAGTGTACTGCTGTGCCAACACCAAGGTTTTGCAAACTCCCAGCAAAGGATCAGTGACCAGTTCTGGCAGAAATCTAGTCTAACCCAATATTCATCCCCTTAACACTCAAGCAGTTTCCCAGCCTGGTCATTGCACACCTGCACAAGTGAGTGTGCCAATGTAACAGATGCAGGAGGAGCTGGCAGGTGCACAAGTGCTTCTTTCCCATGGCACTGCCAGCTTAATTCAAGATGTTCACTGAACTACAGCCTCACTTACGTCTTCATTTTATGGTATCAGCACAATCTCTCTTAATAACTCATTCCTTTCATTAAGTATTTTTCAGACAGAAGGTAAGCAATTTACACAATAATGAAGAGAAAAATTATTTTTTATCCACTACAATGTCAAACAATGACATTTCAAACAGTATTATGTGCATACACACACATAACTAAAACAAAAACATGTCTCAATCAAGTAACATGACACTTCATATTGTTTAATAGTGTGAAACAAAAGTGTTGAGCTCTTATAGCTGAAACAGCCTTGTTTGTGTGATCATCACAGATCAAATATTTTAATAACTAGAAAAATAGGGAAGCAACCATATATTAGCTTTCCATGTACATTGTGCAGCCACACCTGATGTAATACCTACTACACACATGCAATCTTCCTCACCACACAGATCATTCTCTACCGATAAGATAAAAACACACATTGAAGTAATATTCTCAAGTGTTATATGCAATAATATAATTTAGAGCATTAGGACAAAAATTTCATAATTTGTATACTATTTTAAATAATTTTATGAACTATTTCAAATGTTAGAATTTGATTCCCAAGGTGAACTAAATCAGGATGCCACAATATCTGATAAGCAACATAGAAAATTTAATTGTAAAAAAACAAGACTTTGTGGCATTGCTAGGCTAGAATACACTTTTTTCTTCCATGCTCATGCTTTCAAGACTGCTTCTGAAGTCTTTAAATTCCAAAGAGCTTTATCAAACAGTGGAACAAAAAGAAGTTAGTCTTCCAGAAACTCAAAACAAAATCATTTTGGCTAAACCAACAAGTTGCAAATGCAGCCAAACAGAAGATGTAGTGAGTAAGAGCCCCAAGGACTTGCTGCCAGCTGAGATCTTACAGTCTTCTGTAGGAAACATGGGCAGTCATCCTTTTCATCCACCTTCTCATTCCTGCTGTCTGTCCTACTTTAATCTCTAGAGTGAAATGTGCAGAAAAGAACACATATCCTGAGTTTTAAACTTGTAAGTATTGCTCACTAAGAGCCAGTCAGGTCTTTCCAGTATGTTTCTTTTGTTGATACTACTCTGACAAAAAAAGCCTGGTAATTTAAGAAGTATATGGTCATTCAAACTCCATGCAGCTAAGTCAGTCAGCACAGAGTAATACCAGTGCTGCAGACAGCTCAATCACATGTGTAAAAAAGATAGTCCAAAAAGTGAAATTTATTCAATTTATTTATATATAGCTATATCTATATTTAAAAAATATATATATGCATAGTAAAGGCTATGTGAAAGCATATCTAATGTACCTCTGTAAAAGTCCATGCAACTATTTTAAAACACTTGAAAAAAAGAACCTGAGTATTTACCAAGGCTTTTTCCTTGTGCAATTCTTATCAAAAGCTGGCAGAGATAGACTGTTTTTTTCTGATGCGGAGGTATTTGGGAGAGGCCACTAATAAGAGCTGGAAAAGAAGAGAAAAGTTAAGTCAGTTTTGCTCCAGCACTGCCACAGTGTGGCTAGATATATAGTAGACACTGTGTTACCAGATTTTACTAAATTTCTAATTCCTTAAGAAACCAATGAAGCCTACTCAAATAGTATTCTTCCTTGCTAAAACAACAGAAATAACATTTAAGAGCTTGACCAGAAGAATATATCCTTTTCTGAAGAAACAGCAGAATTAATCACAAGCTTCTATTCATCCAATTCAAAGACCATAGTATTAAATGTAGGGGTTTTTTTGGTAAATAGGGTACTACAAAAGACAGCTGTCTGCTCCAAAGAACACTTCCAGGGAATGCCCACAGACAGACTGGTATAGCATGTTGCTATAGCAACTTACAGAAATAAAGCAGTAAAAGCTACATGGAAAGCTTACTCAGAAATGTAAATTTACAAGGAAAATCCTCCTTGCAAGGCTGGAAGGTCACAAGGATTATTACAGATTTTAAAATGGGAGCTATCATGAGCTTATTCCCATCATTCAGGTTACTGTGAATTTCTTATGCTAATGTGCTGGATATAGTAATTCATCTTCACAGCATAATACAGAACCATTCAAAATGAAAAGTGAATCACAGAACAGTTGGGGTTCAAAGGAGCTGCTGGGTATTATCTGGAACCACAGCCTTCCTACCTTTCTGCACTTGCTTCAATTTGAATTGACTTTCTTGTTGACAGCCAATCATTATTTCTGTAGGGTCTCCCTTTGTCACATGCAAGAGTAACAATTCTGTGTTTCTACAAAAAAAAAACACACCTACTTTTCTATTACAATCTTATGACTGCGCTAAGCTTTTCCCAAAGACTTCTACAATATTGACTTAATAATCTTAAAGTGCCAAACTCTTTCCTCTGTTGCTGAACAGAGTAGGACCAAGTTCAAAATTTGCTATTACTTATTTCCGCATGACCTTGAATTCTATTCAACTTTATTAACAGTTTCTACTAACACACTCAGTCTTCCCACGAGATATTTTCACTCTGCTTTTGCATTGCATTGTCTCTGCTTCGCACCTGCACAAAACCTCAGTACAATTCTCCTGCTGAGCTGCAGTCCAAAGGCCACACATAGAGAAGCAACATAAATAATTTAATCTAGCAGCCTCCCATTCAAAGTACTGTGGTAAGTTATCATTAGATTTCTTACCATATCCCATATCAACCTACTTAGTAATCATTCTCTATGCCATTGTATTCCGTTCTTTGCACAAGTTTAAACAAGTCATACTGCTATGCTCCCTTGAGTCAAGAACATAAACACAGACAAAATCCCCCAAAGCTCTAACCTGGTATCGTCAGGAAAACTGCTTCTCACTGAAGAAAACACCATAAATCCATCAAATTTATCTGAGTCTTAGACGTTTACTTCTAGTTGTCAACCACTCTCACTCTAAAGTTTATTCCCCGTTTTAAATATATGTTTATCCATTCAAAACCCAGTCACCACACTTCATCTCATCTCATCTCTGTCTGACAGACTGTAGTTCTCTGAAACATTTCTAGCATTGCTGTATTGCTGTCGCGTGCGAGTGCTGCCGATACCACACCTGCCCTTCACAGCCCGGGGATCTCCTGAGGCCCCCGACAGAGCTGAGCATCACCCCCAGCGCTGCTGACCACGGTGGTCGATGGGCAATGAGTGTTTTAGTGCCCGGCGTGCAGGAGGACGCTGCCCCTGCGGCCCCTCAGGACTCGCTGTCCCGGCAGCGGCTGCGCAGAGCCCGAACCGCCGCCGCCCCTCACCCTGCGCAACGTCCCTCCACCGCCAGAACTCCGCCCCGCTCTGCTCCGCGAAGTGTCGGCACAGGCAGGAGCAGGCGAACTCCAGCATCCACTCCGCGGCCACGGCCTCCAGGGCCTCCGGCGGGGCCGAACTGACGGAGCTGCTCACGGAGCTGCTGCCGCCGCCGTCCGGCGCGCCCTGGGCCGCCGTCGCCATCTTCAAACCGCGCGCCAACGGCTGCGGGCCCTGAGCTTCGCCCGCGCTGCAGCCAATCAGAGCGATCGTACCGCCCCGCCCGCTTCGCATCCAATCAGCAAAGCCGTTCCGCCTGGCCCCGCCCCGCTCACCGAGCCGCAACCAATCAGCGCTGCCGCACCTCACGGCCCGGGCTGTCGTCGCAGCGCGCTTGTTTTGATTCGCAAGTGCCCTTTGGTGGCCTAGGGGGCGGGGGGAAAGCTGAGGGAGCGTTGTTCCGTGTGGAGCGGGGCTCTGAGAGCTGCCGTGTCCCGTGTGGAGTGCTGTCCTATGTCGAGTGCTGGCTCTGAGAGCTGCCGTGTCCCATGTGGAGCGGTGGCTCTCAGAGCTGCGGTGTTCCGCGCTTCCTGGAAGAGCCAAAGGCGAAACGTGGATGTTTCCTTGCATGTGTGATCGGAAGGGCTTCTCTTAGCGCGTCCTCATGTGGGGTCTGGAGAGAGGAGGCTGTGGGAGGGAGGGGGGACATACCAGAGCCTGGAAAAACTGAAAAGTGGGAGCTTCGACTTGGCAACGAAGCCCTGGATGGTATGTGGAGAGCGACGGTATTAGTTGGAGGGTGTTTATCTGACAAGGCAACTGTTTGTAGATGTTAAAATGTAAAACCCAGGGAGGAAGAAGGTGGTCTGCAAAGGGCTGAATTCAGGGCAAGTGCTGAAGGGCAGAAGAGTTTTCTTCTCAGAGATGTTCTAGGTCTGGTGAAAGGCTTTAATTTGAGCTTTATTTCACTCCAGGGAGGGGCAGGGTGGCATCAGAGAGCAAGAGGTATCAGGTGATGGGCCTTTAACTCCTTTGACTCCTGTGCTCACACTAAATTGCACCCACAGCAATCTTGCTGTGGCATTAATACATTGAGGTCAAAGAGACAAGAAGACACATAATTTAACTTAAAAGAATATTCTATTTGGACAGCTGTATTAATGGAGTACAAGAGTTAGGTTTGCACTTTGGAAGAGATTGTGACAACTTCTTAATGCTGATAGTGTCAGGAATGAAAATTCTTAGTGTTTGACACAAACCAGGTGGACATAAAAAGGATATTATTATGCATTAATGTTTAATTGAGTAGACATTTTATAAGTTTTGTAGTAAAAACTGACAGGAAGGTGGATCAAATTACCTGATAAACAACAGCAGGACCAGTTTGCTGAGTGTAAGCTCTGCTCAGTACTAGCAAGATCATCTTTGTTATCATCTCTGTGCCCAACACAAATCCAAAACACAGCTCCTTACCAAGCCACTGTGAAGAAAATTAACTCTGGCCCAGCCAAAACCAGCACAACACCCAGCCCTGAGTGTCCTTGAGGAGGCCCTAATATATGGGCAAATGGATTTCAGGTACTATCCCAGGCCTATCTCTTCCCCTTGACAGTAGAGGGAGCCTGAAGTATTTTAGAATATGCCTATCTTGTAGGTGTTTTGAGGTCAGACGACTCTTGTGCTGGGTGAGCTTGCAGCAGCATGAGAAAAGATACTCTAGTGTGGCAGAAAACATGTTTTTTTCTTACGAATGAGGTGGAAAACCACAGTTGTTCAGTTTAATTCCTAAACCAGTTTTGTCTTTCTCTTGCAGGTGTTTATACCAGTTCTGTCTGCGATGGTGGCAATGTATTTCTTCCCAGATTTGGCTCCTGTAGCCTCATCTCCAAACCTGCAACATGTTTACACTTTCCTCTTTATGCTGGGAAGTCTTGTTATTTATCTGCCTTTTATACATTTTAAAATGCACTTTGCATTTCTTGATAAAATTACAAGCAGCTTAGAGCTCTTGCTAGAAAACTCTCCTGCTGATGGGTCTGCCAAGGGCAAATGTGAATAGTGTTTAGTCCCAGTGTAACTAAGATCCAACAGAGGACTTTGTTTAACTGAGAGTATAAAAGGTACAAGTTACATGTGATACACAGCTGTGCATGCATGTGTGCATATGCATATATAGATATAAATGAATGTACATGTACTGCATACCTATACACATAAATATATATAAATATATATTTAAAAGTATAGGCATTAGCATAGAGAGTTAGTATGTGTATATTTTTGTGTCTGTGGATACATTAATGTATATCCATAGCAATTTAATAAGTGCAAGGAGTCTCACCTAAACTTGTAAAATCTGTAAAATGCTCTCTCTTGCTCCTGGACACAGTTAAAATAAGAAATAAGACTAAATTACAACACAAATAACTACCACTATTATCATATAATAAATGAGTAAATACATACTTAACAGCATAATTATGCGAATATACTTTTGGTCTCCAGACTCAATTGATCAGGATTATTCTTGGTTCATAGTTGCTCATTTATTGGAACTTCCATTTTAAAAGGCTTTAGTCTTCTCTTAATTTGCTAAATTTTTTTTGGTTTGAATTTATTTTTAATAAGAATCTTTAAGGTACATCATAAAATTGACGGATCTTTTTTAATCCCTGAAAAATGGTGCATTTTAGCATTTTAGCTATTTTAGAACAACACATACAAATTCATGATGGAATCTTATGCTTTATTCTTCAATTTCTTTTTGGTTACTTTATTCTTCATTTTCTTTTAGGTGTTATTGGGAACTAGGAGGCCCCTTTCCTCCCATTTTTTTGTTTATGAAAGTAAAATAAATTATTTTTTCTTTTGATAAATGGTCCATATTAACTTCATACAGTATTTAATCTTAAAAGCAAAGAACCATTGCACAAGAAACATCACATACTTAGGTGATTAATATATTAATATGTGCTGTTATTTTTATAACTGCAATAGAATTACATGTGTGAAGTGTTTTTTCAAATTTGTCAATGAAAGCTCAGCAATACAACCAGTAGATGGCCCCACCCTAACATCTCCCTTACACAGTGGTGCTCTGGTTTGCTGAGTGAGTGGGAAAAGTTCTTGCTAGGATACTCAGTGCACCGATGTATGAAAAATAGGGATCAGAATGATGGATAAAGACTTTATTCATAGCTGTTCAAATTATAAGGTACCCTTCTATAAAGCTGGGAACCAACTGAATGTTAAACTGAACGTTTAAAGAGATTTGACTTAACACAAATGAAAAGAAGTGCATGAAGAAAGTGCCTTTTCTCACAGCTGGTATTGCACACAGAATGAAAATTTGAATTAAAATTTAGAACATTTAGAATGCTGTCGGGAGTAAAGTCTGTGCAAGTGAGAAGCTGAGCTGGAGATTGGATCCTGCTGAAAGCAAGACAAGAATCAATCTGTAATTTTGTTCAATATTGCTATTGGAAAAAAAATTCACTTGCTATTTAAATTTAAAAAATCACAATGAAGTTTTCCAGCAGTAATATTTTATGAATTGAATTCTACTGAATAAAAAGAAAGAAAGAATTTTACTATGACCAAAGCACCAACCAAGGATTTATAAATGCAGGTGGTGCCTGGCATGCCACAGATCTTCCACTTATCTTTATAAAATAATTTATTTAAGCCCATATTTTAATATGGAAATAAAAGTGAAATTTATAGGGAACAAAAAGTGTATGTGACAATAATATTGTGGTGTAGACCAGATGGTTAGAAAAAGCAAGCATCAGGGGTAAGTTGCTCAGTTGGATGTGTAATTTCTTGTATCTTGTTCATACACTAATTCCATGAATTGTTAAGTACCTAGTGGATACATTTGTCAGGGTGTGTTTGGGTAACTGGAACATGTATCTATCTGGTAAAGATACAAACTTTGAATTTAGAGATTTAGCAGACTCAACATATCAGGGAACTCGAAAGCCCCAATAAAATGTAATATGAAATAAAGTGCATTTGTGTATCCATTCATGCCATGTTTTAGATGGAAACAAAGGAAGTCTAGCCAGAATTATTCACTGACTTTGGATGCCTTGGACCTGGTATTTCATAGAAATTCATAACTATAGGCTACCTATAGTCCTCTAGAATCAAGGTCCAAGAATACTAAAAGAAGAAAGAAGGACAAGTTCTCTCAGTCAGTTTGGTTTAGATGAAGAACAGGTATCCTAAAGCTCAACTTCTGACTGTGGATAGCTGCAATTCCTGTATGATCTAAAGTCTATGAAATGTTAAATTACAACAATGAGATCTTAAGATTCCACAACCCAAGCTGGGAGGATTTAAAATAAAATGAGGAAAACAGAATTAATAACAATTTTTAAAAAATTATTATTTAAATTATTCCAGTATGGTTTTGGATTTTATAGAGAAAGAGAAGTTTGAATGTCTCTGGGCAGTACTCAAATTCTTTAATCTAACAACTGTTCTGGAAGTGTTACCTTATTCACTATATCAAATACTTCTACAGCAAATGAGGGATTGGCTACCTCTCATTTAGCATCTTCTTCACCACAAACTGTTCACTTATTGCTAGACCTAAGTGATATGAGGATCTTCTGAAAAAACCCTCTTGTTAGATGACCTGAAAAGGCATTCATACAGCTGAGAAGAATTAATATTATAAAAGCAATCTCAGATGTTTCTGATCTGAATGAGTCACTGATGTTCTCTTAATGTGGCCTTTCTTTTGCATGAGTTTTTTTGAATGTGGAATCACAAACAAGCAAATGCAGGATTAAATTTATAATGATTTCTTATTGTTGCGGGATCATTCCAGATTTTAAAACACTAATTGTGAAGAACAGAATTCAATATTTTAACTAATATTAATGACTGAAGGCTAGGGAAATTCAATATTTTAATATTACAGCTTGTTTCAGTAGCACTCGTGGGTCTCAGCTGCTTTCTTACTTGAACATGCCTCTGAAAATACTATAAAGAAATGTGACTCTTCTAGTTCTAGAATACATCAGACATTAGTTTAAATTTTTAATTCATTTTTTACCTGTGACTTAATAATTCTTTTAATTCTACTTGCATATTTTAAAAGTTCAACCACACAACAAATAAAGATAAAATGTGGGGGTTTTTTTTCAATATTGTACTGGCCCAGTTTGACATGTAATCTCCCGTTTTTTGGGGGTTTTTTGTTTCCTATCACAATATTTGTGTGTATGTCTGCATTACCTTTCTTTTGTTCTTTATCTCCCTAAAAACACAGGTTTAATAAAGAAATTATTATCAGTCCTATTTTTTAAAATTACTTGTAGTTATCCATCATGCTAACTCCATGTGTGTTGACTGCTTTACAAAAAAAACCCCCACAGAATAGAAGAAAAAAAATCCTTGGAAAAATAATGCAACATTTAATATGAAACTAATCAATAAATAATTAAAAGTGAATAGCAGAATTAATACAAATTCATTTGTGTTTATGGAAAGCAATCTGTATTGGGTCTGGCTGAGGTAGAGTTCATTTTCCCAGAGCAGCCCTCGCAGTCCTGTGCTCTGTGTTGGTAGCTGGAAAGGTACTGATAACACACCTGTGCTTTGGCTACTGCTGAGCTGCACAAACTTCAGCTCTTCTTTCTTTGCTTTGGTAAATGGCCTTATCTCAAGCTACTGGTTGTTCCCCATCTTATTTTCTCTGTCCTGTCACCCAGGGCTTGGTGGCTTGGTGGGCACCTGGCTTCAACCCAAGGTCAATTCTATTGTATATAGAATATAATTCTGTCAAACCATCTTTACATTATATTTTCTGTAATACTGGTTGCTTAAAGGATGAAGAAAATTTGGATTAGAGGATTTAGAGGTCTGTTGAAAATGTAGACTTTGACAAAGTTTTACGCCACTATAAATCAGTCTATTTTGTTTTGCAATCCTAGAACAAAGTGAGTTGGGTTTTTTTCATCATGCAGAGCTACTAAAATGAGCCTTACTAGCAAGCCTTTGTGCTGGGCATACTATTGGCTAGGGGCTTTCTTTTGATGGCAGAAGATGTTTTTATTCCTGGCAGCAAGTGGTAAATGCATACATTGATTGGGCTGAGACCTCCCTATGTGCCACTATGTATATGGTAAATCTTCATTGTGAGGGTGGCAAGGTTGTCCAGAGAACCTGTGGATGCCCCAGCTGTGGAAGTGTTAAGGCCAGGCTGAATGGGGCTGGGAGCACCCTGGCCTAGTGGAAGGTGCCCCTGTCCCTGGCAGGGGTGTTAACCAGATGGTCACTAAAGGTCCCTTCTTACCCAGGGCCTTCTATGGTTCTGTGATTGCCAAGTGTTGGGCATCAGGTGCCAGCCACAGTAAAGTCCCACCAGGGACTTGGGGGTTGGGCATGATCAAGCTTGGAACTTTGGGGGGGCACTGCCAAGCAACCTGACAAACATTCCCTAAACGTTCCACTGCCCTTGGTCAGGTAGTGTCTCCTGCTTGCAGCTTCTCTTAAGGTTTACAATTCACAGACTGTGCACAGGAGGATGTATTTGTCAGGTGCTTTATGTGTAAAGATTTTGGACACAGTCAATGGTTAAATTGGCCACCAGTGCCTTCCTTTTGGTATTACCAGTTGTAGAGAGATCTTTTCACCAGAGCGTCTTTTATATGTGGGCTGGTTTCTTGAGAACTGATATGACCACTTCATGCCTAGACTTTCAGTAGATGTTACCTTGCCCTCTAAATTTATCTTCTTGGCACCATAACTGGCTTCATGTTTAATTAACTTTTTTTTCATGCTTACAAATAGTGTCTTGTTAGGAAATGTCAGAAAGTTGGATACAGGCAAAGTGAAGCAGTCCTACATTTCTGCTTGTGTGTCTGTGACTTAATTCTCTTTGCTCAAATTGAAGCCCAAATTGACATTGTTTTCTGAAAGGTTTTCAAAGTATATCAAGAGGGACATATTATTTTTTCTAGTGTGTATATTCATGGAAAATCAGCATGAGACCTTAATTCCAGTTAAAAAAAGACTAAGCAACCTGTTGTCTGAGGATGGCTGTGAACTAAAATTCACTTAATGCTATCATGCTGAGCAACTTAAGTGCTGTGAAAAACTACCATAATTTCTTTTTGTTATCTTCATATGATCTTCAGAATTCTTTTTTTTCCTACTAAATGATATTCTTTTTGTACTGTGTTCAGCAAGAGGGGAAAATTAACTGAAAACAATTTATGTTTGCAAATCCTCTCTATAAAAAACTGAACATTTTACCTATTTTTTAAGTAGTGTTGAAAAACTCGGTGAAGTGTTGATGACTCTTGCTTTATGCACACTATATTAAAATATCGTGCTAACTACTTGTGTTGTTTACAGTGGCATTTTTGTGCTCACCTGTCTGTGCTCTTACATGTCAACTTTGTATCTTACTACTGCAGAGGCAATCTTGCAAAAAAAAGGGATGATGTGGAAAAGACACCTAGACAGCAGAGAGACTGTGGGTGTTCCCCTACACAAAAGCAGATACCAAAATAATTTACTATTTTTCTATATGAATGGCAATTCATGTAAAGGAATTGCTTACTTTAATTTTAATTTAGCTGAAAACTTTTTCCAAAGTTTAGTGTAATCTAATGTTTTATTCATGTTCTCTGATTATAATTTAACATCTTACTATTGCAGTCATGCCACAGCTACGTTCTAAGGTGGAGGAAATACCTTCTTCAGAAGACAAGAAAGAGTAGTGAAATGCTGAAACATATAATATACTACGCTTGCTGAATTGCCTTATGATTTTTGAATAAATAAATAAAACCCCCAGCTTTTTACAAATAGCTGTCTCAGGGCTTGGGGTTTCATTCAAATCTTGCTAAAACGTGAATTTACTGGTACCTGCTTTATCTGTGTTTGTTCTTGTGCCAGTTTGTTCTTGCCTGCAAGCTCAAGTCGTCCCCTGTCCCAAGCAGAACTCATGTTAAAATTATAGACACTGATCAATATTTTTTCCTTGTCTTGGTTTTGCTCTGTTGAATCAAGGTAGTCCACTGTCTGCTTGAATGCCAGGAACTTTGTTTTCTAAACATATCCATAGCCTGATTTCATAGTTAGTTTTGGTAAGATATGAATTCCTTTGCAGTTTGTTTCAACCAGAATTTATCATAGTACTTTCTAAATCATCTCTCAAATGCTAGTATGATTTTTTTTTTGTCCTGGGTTTTACCACACTCTTGGATAATTAACCTGTGACTTATTGATACAGCCAGTTTTGTATCTGGCCAAGTGTTTAAGTTTCACATCTACTAAACCCTATTTTAGATTAGAAATCCTTGTTATTAATCCTGGGTTCCTGAGTGGTGTTCCTATTCCCTCTTGCTGTGTGTTAGTTTAATCTTTTGCATGTATGGAGTGCCTTGAAATTGATACTATGAAGACACCAGATATGCTCACAGGTTTTCTGCATGTTTGTGAGATTTTTCCTGTTTCTTTTAATTAGGAAAGTCTACATATGGAAACAACTGGTAAAGAAACAACTGACAATCCAGGTAGCATTGTAAGCTACTTCTGTTCTAAATTTCCTTGACTATACCCTAGCCAAAAGCTTTTTCTTAAGCAATTGAGATGGAGTGAACTACTGAGTATTTTTCATGTATTAAAAAAATCGGTGTTGCTTTTGACATTACAAGCCATAGCCACAGATTCTAGGGCTGTACTGGAAAAGAGCTCATAGGTATTCAGACAAAAAAAGTCTCAGTGTTTTTCCAAAACAAGTACATGATAAAAGGCTGTTGATAGGAGGGAGTATCTGTAGTGTAGGGCATTTTGAATATATCATTATTTGCAACAGTACTTAAAGAGTTTTATGTTATGTACAGTAATTTCATCATAAGGAAGTGAAGCAAAATGAAAAAAAGCTTTGCTTTGTTGAGTGCTATCAAGATACATTGGAAAGTAGGTTTTAGGCACAGTTTTTCTGAAGACCTAATTTCTTGCATGGAAGCAAGATTTTTTAAATGGAAATACATGCACATGCGCAACTTTAAATTTTTTACCTTCATTCTGTCAGTACCTTTTTAAAAATATCTGTATCTGGTGCACGTGCTATTAATTTTTACTTTTTGGGATCCTTATTGTTTTCCAGTAAAAAATATGACCTATCTAGCCTTGAAAGAATAGTAATTAAAGAGACATTATATTCTTACTCAAGTGTTTTACAGTTCTCATTAAAAATCAGGTGTGTGTTTTTTCACTTCTACTGTGCATTGATTAACTCCTGCCTGCCTTGAAACTTCCCCTGAACTTAGAGATGGGTGATACACATCCTGTTTTCTGCCTCTTTGACTATCCTGCTTTATCTTAAACTTGTTTGTGACATTATTCTAAATTCTTTGCTTTCAACAGCACCTAGAAGATGTGAGACAGATTCTTCAGTCCATTCTTCATCTGTCTCAGAGAGAGATTCATGCAAAGGGAACAAAAGGTTTGTGTATGGTTAAGTGATAGTTTTTCTGTCTCAATAGCACTGTCACGTGACTCAATAATGCTTTCAAGGGGTTTTGGACTGGTGGCAAATAAGATAATTAGTATTACTGTGGTAGTCTAAGAGTATAAAGAAAACAAACACTGGCAGTGGCAGGCCATTCTTTTTACTAGACATCAGATCTTATTTGGGAATGCAATATTTATGGTCATTGATAAGGTGATGATGAGGGTTGTGGCTGAGATTGTGTAACTGAAGTTAATTTGTTGTGTAACTGAAGCCAGAATCTCCCTCTGAAAACCTTAGACTATTTAATCTTGAGAGATGAAAGTTATTTTCTTAAAACCAAAGACAATTTAGTTAGAGGGAGAGACTGCATGGAAGTTTTAATGGATTTTTTTTTAAATCACTCAAACACTGATTCTGATGTCTCTTTGGAATCAGCTCATGTTTCTGTACGAAACTATCCTTAAACCAGAAAAATATTAAATGAAAATCTAATTTATTAATTGCAGTATTAATAACAAAGGAGTGTCAGATCATTCGAACAGAGCACGGAGAGTGCCTTCCCTTGCTAAATAGGAACACTTTGTTTAGTATCATTGAAAGCAGACAATTATGGAAGAAAGAGGTTTTGAAGTCAAGTTTTTAAATAAGTTTAAAATGTTGATGTTTCACAGAGTAAGCTACATAATGCTAAGTGAAACTCGATTTGTGTGACTGAGAGAGAGAGACTGGATAAAAGGAGTAACTTGATTAAGAAATTTCTTTGCGCACTAGTGATACATTTTACCTTCCTAAGAAAAATCAAATATTGCTGTCACAAGGAAAATCACATAATGTACTTTGAAATAAGATAAAATTTCCAATTATCTGAAAACTTTGTATATTTCAAAGTAAACTCTGAGCTAATGTTCACTTAAATTTTGGTATTACTTGGAGTGCATTTTAATTTTTTACTTGTTTGAATGTTTCCAGACAGAGATATGGAGTCCTCAGCAGTGATTCCTTTTCCTCTTCTGATGATGATGAGGATTTTGAAATACAGAAGAAGAAGAGAAATTTAAGGAGGTTAATGAAATTAGTGAATAGGGGAGGGAGGAGTGTACCTGGGAGGACTTTGCATATGCCTAATTATGAAGTGTTGCCATCTTCATATTGTACCTTTTCAAAATTATCATACCTGTTGGTATTGACAACTGTAATTGGAGTCTCTTAAACCGGATTTTTAGGATTGACTTTTAATAAGAAATTTAATTTCCAGGTGGGGATGGGAGGAAACTTAGAGATACACACGTTGATGTATTTTCTTGATGTAAAACTTCATTGCTGCTGTGTTTTGCTGTTGTTTCAAAGCGAAAACCACTATAAGAGAAAACAGGGGAAATAAATTTTGTTACTTAACAAATGTTCTTGGAATATTAATTTAATAACAGTCTAGCAAATGGATTTTCAGCCTGACATCTTTGTGTATCTTCTGGCACACACATTCCAAAGTCCTCAGGAAAGCCCAGGAGTTGTGGGCAGCCTTTATAATGTTAACACCCACTGATATAAGTGTTCTGGGCTGTAACTTTTTGAAGGTAAAAGCTAAAACGATTTGAAAGATGTCAGTGTGTTTGGGAAGGGGAGGAATTCTTCCATCATAATAATCGTGGTCAGTCCATGGCCTCCACATATGGAATAATTGTTCTAAGCTTGAATTCCGATATGTGCTGTGTTAACTGGCTTGGATATTCATAAGTGGTAATGTTAAAATAATTAACTCAGTTTAATGTCTGGAGAGACAATTTTCTTTTATCTACTCATAGCCATTAAATGTAAAACACTGGAATGAGTATTTACCTATTTAGGAAGTTTATGCTGATTTATAAGGTCTTCTGCATTCACTTGCTGCCTTTAGAAAATCAAAAACCTTCTATCTGCATTTTAAGTTAGAAAGCACCTTTTTTCCTCAATTCAAATTAGATCTCTTCTGGTCAGCTTTCAGAAGTGTGCCTCAACAGGAGTTGACAAGGATACCATGAAAACTGGAGGAAGTCTGGCTGACATGGAACAAATGCAAATAGATGGTTCAGTAAGTATTTTTTATTAATTGAGACAGTGAGACATTTGCAGTATTTATGAAAGCTACCAGTAATGGGCCATCTATAACTCCCTTGAGTTTTCTCTCAAGCTTCTCATGGAACCTTATCAAGGCTGCAGCTTTCTTTAACATATAAATGTATTCTGTTGACTTCATCTTTAGGTACAGTTTGATGGCGTGGGTGGTCTTTCTGACCACATTTCATCTTTAAAAGAGATGGTCATTTTTCCATTGCTTTATCCTGAAATCTTTGAGAGATTGAAAATTGAACCTCCAAGGTAACAGACACTGTTTAAAACTCTTAAGTTCTAATTAACGTATTTTCAGGAGAATTAAGCTGGGGCATCAATATGTTTTCATGCTTCCAAATTCTCAGCAGTTGATTTTTTTTTCAACAGTAGTAAAACGTAATTTAAAAAAAATTTGGTAGAATCCAGTATATATGTTGGCCCAAAGATTTACTGCATGGTGAGACCATCCTTTCAAAGTGTCTTGCCTTTCAAAGGCAGAGTTGGGGATTTTTTCTTTATAGCTCTAAATGGAAGTGGACTTGATTGGTTTGTAAGCAGGAAGTACTTTCTACTCAAAGTCAAGTGTTTGTTTAGTGAAAGTCCACTTGTCTCTGCCACCAACTCTTTTTTATTTTCAAGTTCTCAAGTATCACTTTTGCAACTGATAGGATATGCAGCTAGAAACTTGCAGTGTTTGTTGTACTTGAGCTAAAATAAAAATTTGTCCTCTTTTTACAGAGCTAAGTGGCTTCTGTGTTACAAAAAAATACCAGTGTTTTACTTGTTAGCTTTATATATTCTTGGTCAACAAAACTCAGTCATGGCATATTGAACTAGGACCTAAAATTCTTTGCCTTCAGTAACTTAAAAAGTATTTCAAAATAGAAAGAAAATGTTTCTGTGCTTTGCTTCTTCATTAATTGAAATTCTTTTTTGAAGCAGCAGTGCTTTTCTAGATGATGTAAATGCAGAAATGCAGAATATCTTTCCAGCTTTAGAATACTTTTTCCTTTATCACCATCAAAGAGAAGCCAATTCCAGTAACTCAAAGCTTTTTAAAGGGGAATAAAATGTTTTACTATAAAACCTCGACTTATTTGAAAACAAGAATGAATATGGAGTGCATAATAGACAAATGAACTGATGATTCCTAAGTTAGCCTAGTCTCAGATTCTGCATTGGAAGTTTGTTCTTGTTTGGCTCCAGCCACCCCTGCTGGATTGTCAGAAGTTTTGAAAGTGCCCTTTTGGGATGGTGCGAGCTTTTATCAATGGTTGGTATTTCCTCATTATCTTCTTTACTGATTTTTTGCTGCCTTGGAGAATTGTGCAGGAACATTTTTTACTTTTCTGATACTTCAGCTGTTAGTGTTATCTTCTCCATGAGGTGTTTTGTTTAGGAGAGCAGAGTTGTGTGTTTTAAGGATGGGGTTTGTAAAAGGTGCTTTTCCATGATGTTTTTTTCTTATGTGACTTTTTAATTTTTTTTTTTTTTTTTTTTTTATTGCAGAGGCTGTCTATTCTATGGTCCACCGGGGACAGGAAAGACACTGCTTGCTCGTGCACTTGCTAATGAATGCAGTCAAGGTGACATGAGAGTGACCTTTTTTATGAGAAAAGGTGCTGAGTGCCTGAGTAAATGGATAGGAGAATCTGAACGACAGCTTCGTACATTATTTGAGGAGGTAAGGTTCAAATTTGGCATGTGTTCTGTATGAGTTGGAAATAAATTTCTATGTTCTACTTGTTTTGTCAGCTCCTTTCACTGAAATGGGATTGTCACTGTTTCCTTTTTCAGTGAACTTTTAGGGGTTGAAATCTTGAGATGTATTGGGAAAGGTTAGTAAAGGAAATAATAAAATCCTGCAAAGCACCACCAATACCACCCCCCTCTCGCCCAAAACAACAAACCCAACAACCTCCCAAAAAGTCACAAAAATGTTTCAAGAAGTAAGAGCTGGTGGCTGAAGATCAGAGGGAAAGAGATACAGGCTGAAAGCGGGGTCATTTAAACTGATAACAGAGAGTTGCTTCCAGAACCTGTAACTTAGCTAAGTCCTGTCTCTGTTCTTGTGGTTGCCATGGAGATGTAAAAACTCCTGATGTGGTTTGTTTCTTGTCACCCAGTCTCCTTCAGTTGATATAGGCTGCTGTTTTCTGTTACTCATGCCACTTTACTCTGTGGCCTCAGTTAACAGAGTCTGAAAAATGTAGTTGCCTTTCCAACCATGATGTTTTTAATGCATTTTCTCTTTCAAATAGGGCTGTTTTCCTGATGTCAATATTCCTGTGTTTTCACTGTAGGCCTACCAGATGCGACCTTCAATTATTTTCTTTGACGAGATTGATGCTCTGGCTCCTGTACGGTCCAGTAAACAAGACCAAATTCATAGGTAGGATATGTTTTGTATCTACATAGAAGCTGCTTGATATTTTTGAAAAAGAGATGGCAACTTATTTAACTTCAAGTGACACATTCATTTTTCCTAAAAATTAGTAATTCCATGCAAATGAATCTCAGATTTTTAAACAGTAATTGAAAACAGTTTGCTGAGCTTGATATCAGCAAAAGGTCTGTGTTACCTTGCCTGTATTTTATTATGGCTTAAAATGAGTCTTTTGCTAAACAGAATCTCATCAGTAAAAATTTGTCCTTTTTGAGCGATCATTGGACAAGGTTATGTGTAACTGAACAAAATTTACTTAGCTGGTGAATGAAAACCATATTTTTCTGTTAGCTCTATTGTGGGGACACTTCTGGCACTTATGGATGGCTTAGCCAGCAGAGGAGAGGTTGTGGTGATAGGAGCCACCAACAGACTGGATTCTATAGATCCTGCTTTGCGAAGACCTGGGCGCTTTGAACGAGAATTCCGCTTCAGTTTGCCAAACAAAGAGGTCAGAACTTCAAATCAACCTTGCACTTCCGTGGCAAAGTCCATCTTCATGACAAATCCCTGTAATAAGGCAGCATTGTGCTGCAGTGCAAGTCTACATCTGTAGTGTACAGTTTGAACAAAACTATTGGGAGACAAAAAGGGACATTGGGGAAATTGCATTGTAGTGTACAGGGCAGACCTGGCACTGAGTATATATGATTAGGGTGATTTCAACAAGTAGTTGATTCTCTACTTAGTTTTGGTTTCTCTGTGACTGGTGAAGAAAATGGGATGCTGATAGTAACTGAAATGTTTAAGAATGGGTATATTAATTAGTTTTAAACTACCTCTCTAGCATCTTGAAATCAAAAGAAAGGGTGAGAGAATGCCTCCTTGGTAGCAAAAACTTTGATCAAGGCTGATGCTAGAGCAAATTAAATATGTTGGGATCTTACTGGAAGTTATTGACAGGGACTTGGACAAAAATGTGAAGGATACTGCCCAGGTGCAGGGCTTGGGAAGCTTCCAGTTCAATGACATTAGTTAAGCAATATAAAAATGGGTAAAATAAAAATATTGAAAGGTGGGAGATAGCATGCAAAATAGATAGATTGTGTTTTCTCACTGGCTATCTCTGATATTTCTTATCACTTCTTGGAAAAAGGACGAATTTTATTGGATTAAAAGCTAGTAAAAGTGCACAAATATTTTTCTCCAGTTTTCATCTGCTCTCAGGAAGAGGAGATGAGATGCCATTAAAAAGATCTAATACATGATTCTCTACTGTGATAGAGTTCTAGAAATATGCCATAATTAATCTGTGTGCTAAAAGTTTCCTGAAATTTTACTTAATTTGAGAGAATTTTCTTGGATGAAACACTGCAGATAAAGATTTTACAATGATTTTTTCTTTGGAATCATTGGGTCTCACGCTTGGGAAAACTCACTTATATGGTACATGTAAATGCCTTTTACTTTACTGCAGCCCTCAGCAAGAGTTTAATGTAACAAGTTCAGAATTCTTAAATTTCCTTCTTGAAGAAGCAGACAGTGTATTAATAATTGACCTTTAAAATACTAAAAGGTTCAGCAGATAAGAAAAGCATTTGTATTGGTATAAGGGATTTCGTGGGTTTGTGTTGTCATTGTTCTTTTAAGAGAAAACTTAGGGCAAACTGAAATGCAACTGTTTCCAGGCAAGAAAAGAAATTTTCAAAATTCACACACGAGACTGGAAGCCGAAGCCATCGGACCACTTGCTTGAAGAGCTGGCTGAAGAATGTGTTGGTGAGCTTGAAAACTGTGGGTTGCCACATGTGGCTTGAGTCCTAGGGAACCTGAGCTTGTAGCAGGCAGCACTAGAGCCCTTGTACCTTGTGGCAGAGGGAGGCAGTGAGGAGACACTCGGCATGGGAGCAAATTTAGGCACTGCTTTCAATTTTCTTTTTGTCTCTCAGAACATTGAATGGGTTTGTGACATCTTTCCCAGGAACGAAGTTTTGAGCAGCAGGCTGCTGCCTAAGTGCAGGATATTAGGCTGTGAGGCATGTAACAACTTTTCTGTGGTGCAGTAACTCTTTAAATTGTCTCTTAGCCTGGTAATTTTTGGCTGCATACAAAGTCTTTCAGTGTTGCCCTTTAGAAGTATTGGCCTTGAATTCTGTTTTGTCTGAGATTGGCATAACATTTGATTCCTGTTTTGTTTATTAGGATACTGTGGTGCTGATATTAAAGCCTTATGTGCCGAAACTGGTCTCTGTGCTTTGCGGCATCGCTATCCTCAGCTATACGAAAGCAGACAGAGACTGCAGATAAACATGGATTCAATTAAAATAAAAGCAAATGATTTTTCCATGGCCATGCAGAAGACTGTTCCAGCTTCACGGAGGGCTGTGCCTTCCCCTGGGCAAGCACTATCAGCTATTTCAAAGCCACTGTTAGAAGACACACTGGAAAGGATTTTACAAACTTTGCAGAGAGTATTTCCCCATGCTGAGCTTGCACTAAAGAAGGACCAACAGCAAGGTAGAACATCTACATCCACTTGTTTTAAAATCTGCCAGAGCAAAAGCTTGTGATCTGGGCAATCAACATATGCAAATGTACTCAGCTGCACTAGCAGGATAATTTTATAATTTGTGTGTGCCCAGTGCTGGGTGGGAGCTGTGAGTGACATGCAAGAGCAGTCGAGAACTACTCATTCTCTGCTGGAGGACCCTGTTTCTGACAGGAGCTAACATCACATTTATCGCTTGCAGAGAGGAATCTAAGCTTTAAATTATTAGCACCTCTTCAAATAAATGTTTAAAGCAGGAGAAATGTTTTTCAAGTGTCTGGGAGCTACATAAGTTGTTCCTAACCATCTTTATTCTAAGGAGAAAAACTCACAAGTTTTTGTCAACAGCGAGATAATACCTGATGCAAATCATGGGACATAGGACAGCTTTGTAGAGACTTGTGCATTCTCCTTTGATTTGTGGTAGAATGAACTCTTCAGGAAATAGCATTCAAAGGATGAAAGACAAGAGAAGTGTTTTTCAGCACCGATTTTGAAGGTGTATTAATGCAAGACAGAGATGGATTATGCAGGAAAGTTAACAACCCTCTCTTCTCTTTAAATCCTATTTTAGGAAATTATGTGATTGACAGTGATGAGGAATCACCATCAATCTCTGAAGAGAAGCAGACTCATAAAACATGTGATCACAAGAAGGCAGAATTCCTCACTTTCAGCAGGTACGTTTGTCCCTGTTATGGCTCTGTTTTTAAGACAGCTGAGTGTGTAAACTGTTTGGTGTGAGGGATGCTAGATGAAGGAGCTGAGTGTGTGTGGGGTGATCAATGTTTGCCAGACATAAGTGTGAAGAAGGTTCAGCTGGTTACTCCTGTTCTGAGTACATTGCCCTGACCCATCAAACGGAACTGTTGTGTGGGTATTTGGCTGGACAGTTTCTGGGATTTAAGAACTATTACTTAAGCCGGCCAAAAGAGTAGCAGATGTGCTGGGGACTGGCAGGATTTCTAGCAGAGGCAGAGTACCAGTTTGTGAGAAAGTAGGCCTTGATAGTTTTCCTGTTCACGGACCAGCTTATTATTTTGTGGAACGGGGAGAGTATTTCCAAACAAGGTGTATAGGAAAAAACTTTAATGTCTGTTTTCCTATTAATCACTCATTTTTAAACTTGTTTTCTACTTAATGCTGTAGAAATCCTCGTGACCAGCCAACGTCTTACAGGCCACGCTTCTTACTAATTGAAGAGCCAGGATCTGGGCAAGCTTCTGATTTGGCAGCTGCAGTAATACATTCCCTGGAAAAGTTTCCAATTTATTCACTAGATACACCAACTTTGTTTGCTAGCACATTACCAGATGAGACATGTGTACAGGTAGCTTTTTTCCTTGTTAGTCTCATAGGATTAGTGTATAAACTAGTGAAGTAAGCAAAAGTCATTGTCAATATAAGTGGCTTGATTGAAATGTGCTGTTTTGTTGACTTTTGTCTGAAAATCCACTTTTCCGATAGAATGACACCACATAAGGATTTTATACATAGCCATGTTATCCATTTGAAATGTAACAGGGAGAATATTACTAGAAGCTCAGGAAGATGGGAATTGCTGCTAATAAACCTCTCTTTGTGGCAAGAAATCCTGCTGATCTGGTGGGATTTAGAAAGTTGTTTTTGTTCCTTCTTAAGAGTCTGTGCTACCAGTAGATGGCTCTGCATCGACCTGACTGCATGTCAAAGCACATTCTGTAGCCTCTTTTTGAATTGTTTGTAGGGCAGCCAAGGTTTTGAGGCAAAGAATTTTTTTCTTTGTTTGGAGTTTTTTTACATATGCAGCTTTTAATGCTGCATTACATGCAGCAAAAGTGTTAAAATTCATGAAATACTTAGATTTGTAACTAGGAAAAGGAAATATAAACAATTTAGTGCTGTTTTGCTTTTTTACTTTTGGGCAGTAAACCCACTTTGTTTTTTGGCATCACTGTATTAAAATATTTGGATCTCTAGTAGCAGCATTTCAGAGCTGTACAAGTTAGGACAGACACATTAGGTGACTGGATACTCATTTGTAACATAGGAGGAGCAAGTCTTTTTCAGATTGTTAATCTGAAGTGGTGCATGGAGAAGTTTGTTGTGTGAAAGGACTGTTCCAGTTCCTTCATGCAGTAGATGTGAGTTGTCTTCTGTGATTGAGGTGCCATCTGTAGGCAGTGGCTTGTGTTTTTTCTAAGCCCACCTTTCGTAATGAGAGGCAGTGAGTGATTTAGCTCTTCAGACAGTCTAAGGACTGGTCACCTCTCATAAAATGTGCTTGAAGTTATGAATTATAGCCAGGCACTTTGTGCTGGGTTAGCCCTCATCTTTTCACATGCACCTTTGTTTGTTCAGCCTGTGCTCCAGTCTGAATTGGGTGTGTGTCCCTTCTGAACTGAAAATGATGTAGCTGCAGTTGTGTAGTGATTTCTCCAGGCAAATACATCTCGCTGAAGAGTTAGCTTTGGGTTTTTTTAAGCACACCACTACATTGGGTGAGGAGTTCTTAGGCTCTTTAGAGTTATTTTATACCTAAGTAGTTTTGAAATCAGGCAGAGATTCAAATCTGTTACTCTCTGCATAAAAATGTCCATATTGGAGTCAAAGTGCAAATTTTACCTGATTATTAAGGAGTCATTTATCAATTTGTCTTCACATCTTGTGTTTATACTTCTTATTTCATAAGGTAGTTTGACTGATATCTAGTTATTTAGTAGTCTGTTGTATGTGGTGGAGTTTTTTTATCCAAAAACCCTTTCATTTTACTAGTTGATGCGAGAAGCTCAGAGATCAGCACCAAGTATCATATATGTCCCACAAATCCCTTCATGGTGGGACACTATTGGAACTACGCTGAGATCTGTTTTTACAACACTACTGCAGAACATCCCAAGGTTTACTCCAGTTTTATTCCTTGCAACATCTAATGTACAACTGAGAGATCTCCCAGAAGAGGTATTTCAGTCAATACTCTTCTTCCTTTGTTACTCAATTTCTTGTTAATTCATAACTCCCTGAAGCATTAGAGTTACATGCCACTCTTAAGCAAATTAGTAGCTGTTACTCAAGCATCCAAACCCAGTCCCTTAAAACTTGCTTAGACAAAACAGTGCTGAAAGCATTTGCCTAGTATTTTCTGAGTAAAAATTGACTTTGATCCAGCTTTTTCTCCCTTCTCACATACTCAAGATTATTAGACAGATGTATGGACTTGCTTCCAACAATGGATTTGGTGGCTTCAAGGTGGTGAGCTGTGTCCTTAGTGAAGAGTGTGGTGCTTGAAAAGTAGCTAGGAAAGAAAGACTGTTTTTCTGAAAACATTTTTACTGAAAAGTCAGATATATTTTTGCTGAAAAAATACAGAGCTCACAGTGTTATTGATGGAATGTCATTTCAAATGTAAGTTATTAAAAAAAAATTGCTTCCTTTCATCGAGGTGAGAACTCAACATATTAGAAAGCTAAGTTTCAGTTTCTGTTTAAGCAACTTGGAAATCAATTTTTAGGTGTATTCTTTAACAAAATTCCTCAAGAAGACATGCTAAGTGTTGTAGACATGTGAAACTGCCCATTAAAGGAAGGTGTTCAAAATGTGAATGTGTTGCTCAGATTATTTTGTCTGAGTAACAGAAGTTTTCATACTGTTAATAACTGCCTTCTAAAATAAAGATTGAAATCCCTTCCGTAATTTTTGGTAGTAGAAATAGAAAAATGGAGTACAACTTGGAAGTATTCAAATTGAGACACTTCATTTAAATTATTTGAAAATAAAATCAGAGAAAGCCCAATCACCTTACTAAAAAGCCAGCACTTTTCCTCTGAGCCTTGCCATTTTCCCTCTGTAGCTGCCATAAAGATTCAAGCCAAAGGACAGCAAGGCACATAAATGGAAAATAAGCAGCCTTTGAGATGGTAAATCCCCAATCACTCCTTTCTCAGTTGTTTATCATTCAGTTTCTTTGTGGAGCTTAAAATCTAGAATGTGATCCTTAGAGAAGGCACTTGAAATTGCCATGCTATAAAAACCTAGTCTTTTAAGGCCACAAAGATAACTGTTAATTTATAGTCTTGTCCAGATAAGTATTCAGTTTAGTTCAGAGAGGTACTAATTTTTTTGGAAGAGAATATAAGAAGTGTGCATGGCCTTGTATAACTAAAGTATATTTTCTCTTCATGCCTTAGATAAAAGCATTGTTTAATAATGAATATGAAGAAGTTTTCAGAATCCCGCGTCCAACCTGTGCTGAGAGAAGACGTTTTTTTGAGGACTTAGTTATGAAGCAAGCTGCTCAACCTCCTGCATTAAAAACCAATACAAGTGAGGAGGATGTTCTACATATAATACTTTGTTAACTCTACGTTAACAGTTAATACAGTATTTGCTTGGTGATCATTTTCTATCAATGAATGTGCTTGTATATGAGTACCATCAATTAACTACAACTTTCTGATTCAATTAAGCTTGCCAGCCTTTGGAAGTGCTGCCTGTAGCACCACCACCTAAGCCTCGAAAGCTGACGGAGGAAGAAATAAGGCAGTTGGAAGAGCAGGAAGAGGATACGTTGCGTGAACTCAGGATTTACTTAAGAGATGTGGCTCAAAGACTTGTCATTGACAAACGTTTCAAAGTATTTACAAAGCCCATTGTCTCAGAGGAGGTTAGTATTTACTTATAATGCCTTTATAACTGTGTGTATTCATAATTCCTCTGTGTTTATGTTTCTTGGTGTTCTTGTGCTCTTTCTAGGAAGGTTTGTCTTTCATGTTAGGACCATACTATTCTGATTTTCTAAGAAGAAAGAAATGAATTTTGTTTTTACTTGACTCCTTGAGACTCTCAAATGTTTATTATTTGAGTATTCATTGAAAGCCCTATGTTCTTTCTAAAAGGTCTTTAAAACTTTAGAATGTTTCAGTTAGAAGGGATCTACAATGAAGGTCTAGTACAAGTGCCAGTTACACCAAATGCCGACACAATTTGCCCATGGAAAGGTTTGGATACATAGGTATGTTACAGCACTAAAAAGCAGAGGGATCACTTTATATTTATAAAAATACCTAAACAGCTGCTTTAATAAAGTCTAAAGCTCTTCGATTAAGTAGTTTCTGAGAGCAGGAGTAGAAGCAGCAGTTTGTCAAATAAATTTTCAGATACTATTCCAGTTTCATCTGGGGCTTTCCTCAGTACATAATCCACCATAAAGGCTGCATGTTTTTTCTTGCTCCCATACACTTCTCATTGAATGTTTTTCCTTGCTCCCATACACTTCCCATTGAATTTATTGAATAAGTCTCTGCCAGGGGCATGTACTTCAAAGTCAATTGTAGTTTTAAGATAGCTGTGCATTTCAGCGAAGTCCCATTCCCCTAAGCATCCACTCACTTGTCTTTTTCTTTCCTTGTAGTTTCCAAGGTGTGAATAACCTATAAACATATAGATCATCTAAAGTAGTCATTAGGCTCCTTTTAAGCTCTGAGTAAAGAAATTGACATTTCTGGGTCCAGTTATCTCATTCTAGAGTGGATGCATAGGACAGGTGCTTTCAAAGGTGCAAATCCTGCAGTTTTTTTCTTGCTGCCAACAACAAAGATAATCCAAGATGACATTACTGAGAAAGGTTTCTCTGCTGTGATTTTCTAAAAAGAAGTGAAATGCATCCTGCCAGTTCCCCTCTCTGGTCCACACATGCTTCTGACCATCCCGCTTCTTTTTTCCCTCTCTCTTGGTCTGTCTCTTCAAAGACACCTGAAATACCTTTTCTATTTTCAAGAAGCTGGTTATTTTCTGCATCTTTGAGGGTGTTATAAATATTTGGGGCTTTTATAAAGTCCTTTATTTGACTTTATGAAAGTCATTAATTTTTGTAGCTTAAATCTCAGAGCATGCATATTTAATTTGTAGGCACCCAATTACAAGGACACCATTAAACAGCCCATGGACCTCTTGACAGTTCTCTCCAAGATTGACATGCACCAGTACTTAACTGCAAGAGATTTTCTAAAGGACATCGATCTAATCTGTAGCAATGCTTTAGAGTACAAACCAAATAAAGGGCCTGCAGGTATGGGTGTATTTTTATGCCTAATTTGGAAAAATTTCAGATGTATAAATTGATAGATTTTGTCTGTGGAAATTTAGTAATCCCACAGTGGATATGGTATCAGATAAATTTAAAGAACCCCATTAGACAATTTTAAACAACCCCAGAGAGCATTTCTTGCCAGGTTGTAAATGTTTTAGTATCAAATATACTGTTTGGGTATGGAATTGTGATAGATGTGTTCATTGATAACTAGTACTTTCTCTTAAATAATAACTTTTCTGGTTTTATGCTGAAAATACAGACTGAGATAGTCTTTCAGAACCTGCATATGAAAAAAGAAAAATCATTCTAATTAACCAAAATAAAGAGTTTCATTGACTGAGTTTGGTGGAAAATGCTCAGTTCTGGCTGTAAAAATTTCAGATCATTTCCTGAGGCACAAAGCTTGTACTTTGAGTGATACTGCATATTCCATAGTGAGGAATGAAATGGATGAAGGTTTTGAGCAACGCTGCCAAAAAATTAAAGACTCTCGTAAGGAAAGAGGTATGTTTTTTGATGCTCAGGATTTTAAGACTTGTCTCATGCTTTGTAACCAGCCACACAAGACCCAATTCTTTGCACTGCGGGTGTGAGAAAGCAAACCCAAAGTGTAATGAGAAATGGAAGATGCCCACAGCACCTGTGGATGCCAGTGCCTCCTGCTCTAATGGCAAGTTGCATTTTATTCAGTCTTTTTTGGAGAAGTTGCTAAAGTCACTGCTACCTTCTCTGTTTCTGTGGCCTAAAAGCAGGTTCCTGTGATGCTTGGTTCTTCATGTCAGAGGCATTGAATTTTTCATTATGCTGCTTCAAATTGTGGGGTAAATCCTGAGGTCTTTCATTCAGTATGGTTCTGAAATTAATTGCACTGGCTGCATGGCATTGTAAGAGCCTGGCCTTGATGTCACAACTGGCATTTAATGGCACCTACATCTTGAAGTTCAAAACATTGTCTGTGTCTGTTTTGAATATTTAACTAGTTTTCAGTTACATGAAACAATGTTTTTCCCTTCTCTGCCTATAATATATCTAATAGAGAACTGATCTCATTAACTTGCAACTTTTCCTCTAGACACACGTAGGGAGATGGTACTGAAGCTCCTGTGGTTATTTTCCTTGTAAGATGCTGCTGCTGTGTTTTGAAGAAAGAACTGCTTTGGGAATGTTTTGGATTACATTTTTTTTTGGTATTTCTTTGTAGATAAGTCAAAAAGAAAATGCAAAATGAAGGAAGACTCTTCAAGTGTCTCAGTAAAGAGGGAGAATGTTCAGTTTGTATCCTCCCAGGACGGTCCCATGGAAGAACATGAAAATGTACTTCAAGAACAAGAGAAAAATGTGACAGAAAATGAAAGTGTGAGAGTGACCCTTGTGGCTGAATCCCCTGCTGGAGAAAAGAGTGTCATGCTTCCTGAATGTTCAGACCTAAGAGAGGAGAGTGAAATGCCAGATTGCCAAATAGCCAGAACTGTTGAAGATGCAGGTTCAAGTGGTAAGTGAAAGGTCAAACAGGTAATTTAGCTCCTTTTGATTCTTGAGGAGGGTTACACTATTTATTAGGTTTTAGCCTTCTTGAATTTCATTCTGTTACTTTTGTGTGTCTCTCAAATCAACACACAGTGTTCCTTGCATAATGATGTTGTTCCTGTAGTTACATTGGCTACAGCCATGGTTTTTTACATTGGCTGGTTGTTTTTTTTTTATTCTAGTTTTTTTTTCAAATGCTATCAAATTGTACAAGTTTCTTCCCAGTGATAAGCAGCCTAAGTGTAAACTGTACAGCTGTACTTAAAACAATGTGGACCCAGAGAACCCTGTGGAATAGAAAAATTATGTCCTAATGTTTGGAATGTAAGATGTGTAGATGTGTTTCCTAACCTAAAATTCTACTTTTTTACACCATGTTTGGTTTTTCTAACTTCAGGTTTATTGTGCAGTGCTGCAGTGACAGCATGAATATTTTTTCCTAGTTTTACCCTGCCTTTTTTTCTCTAGTGCTTTTTTTTCATTCCTGAGTTCCTAGTTTTTATGGTGCAGCACTAGAAGGATAGAAGTCAAGCATTTCTCTGTAATAAAAAATGGATAACAATTCTGTCTCTGTGACTGCAGAGGGCTAGTCTTTTCCAGGTACAGGTACTTCACTGATACTGTATTCCAGATAAAGAGAAATCTTAATTTCAAAAATGTGTGTAATTCCAGATTCACAAGTACATCATACAACTTGTGTGGAACATTCTCAGGTGGATGAGCAACTGCGAGTATGTGATGGGGAAGCAAAGAAAATTCACACACAGGGAGTGTCTGTGGATTACTCTGAGCTCAGAGTAAGTCTAATTTCAATTTTGTTGATACTGGAGTAGGATGTTTTCTTGCTACCTGTATGGTTGTCAATTAAGTCACTTGTTAACCAATGTCAATTCAAACAATCAATGAGAGGGATACATGGCTTGTGAAATGATTCAGCCTGTAATGACTGTTGTTTCCAGAGCTGGTGTTGATGGCTGCTTTTGCTTTTGGTGAACTGAATTTTAGGAGACTGTTCTCTTTCTAATTTTCAATGTAAAAGTGTTTGTTAAGTTTTAAGTTAGCTCACTGTCAATCTGCTGCTGCTGTTGGTTAGTAGTTTTTATGATGGACTGGGGAGATGGGTATTTTGGTTTGCTGTTTGCATGCTTTCATTAACTAGGACCTGGAAAAGGACCTTGATTTTTAGCAGTGATGACTTTAAACCTGAAATTAGAATGTTGATCAAAAGATTGTCTTGGATAAAATACTAATATCTACTTTTCTCAAATGCTTTCAAAATTCAGTGTTAGAATTTTGCATCCATACAGTTACACGTTTTTTCTAGTCCCCTGTAGGATAGAAGCTCTTATCCTAAGGTATAGTCAGGGAAAGGATCAAACATGGGCCTAGCTGCAGATGGAAAAGGAGGTTCCTTTGCATGAACTGGAGAGGGTGGAAGAATGACCTGCCCTTCAGGTGATACAGCCACAAGAAAAATTCAGGAAATTACTAGGTTGCACTTCTGAGGGTCGGTCAAAGCAGAGGAAGCTGCTGTTTACCTGCCATGATGAGAGGGAGTATTACTTGGTTGTTTCCCTTGTGCAGGGAGAAAGTCCCTTTGGTAAAAGGGCTCACCAGCATAATTTATATCACATTTTTAAGTGTTGATCTGTACAGTAAAGGTTAAATTAACTTTCCAAGATGGCTTCCTAAGGAACCAAATTTCAGGGGGTTGTGTTGTTCATGACTGCTTGTATATTAAAAAAAGCTACATGGTTTTTTTCTAGAATCAGGATGCTAATGGCATGTAATCTGAAATTATTGCCTACTGAATGCAGAAGTGGTAGGGTAGAGCCCTCACTGATGTTTCTGCTCATATGTGTTTCAGCTGTGAGGAGAGGGCTACAGCCGTGAAACACATATTTTAGAAGTCTTGTTTCCATAACATGGGTGTCACTGGAACTCTCTGCTTGTAGCAGAGAGCCCCTCCAAGATGGATCTGCTTGGTTTTGTACGGGGTTTTTGTTTAGTTGATTTTATTTGTTTTCTTGGGGGTTTCCTTTGGATGTGTGTTCATTTATTTGCTAAATATTAGGTGTAGAACTCAAATCTTGTGATAGCTGATTGTAAGGGAGGCTGAGTCTGATGGCAAGCAGGTGTGAGGCTGTAATATTTTTATTTGGTGTGGCTGTTCTCTTCAGATATATCTGCACAGCCTCCCACAACACACAGCTACTGAGCAGCCCCAGCAGTGCTGCTGCTAGCTTGTTAGTGTTGCTTTCCCCAGATTACCACGTTCACATCTTTGATAACACAAGGAACTGTGTGAGAGATTGGTAATTTCTTACAGACTACTCTGCTAGTTCATCGAAGGGTAGGAGCTGACTGATGTTAGTCACAGCACTGATTCAGCTAATGGGAAGAGGTGAACACCTAAAGATGCTTCTGTTTCCACCTGGCACAGCTCTGTCTGGGAGATCTGTAGGCTTGTTTCTAAAAACACATTTTCTAGGGCCCTGCATTGCATTTGTAATGAAATGCAACCATGACTTCCCTGAGGCAGCTCCTCAGTGACAAAGTGGATCGCGTCATTCCCCACTGTTCTAGAAGTAGTTGAATCACAGTTATGATCACTGATGTCGTATAGTGATGAGTAAGAAAATCCTGTCTGAAATGTAAGCTTTTTCTCTGACATGTGGAATATTAATTTGCTTCCTCCAAACAATGTAAGAAAATAGGATGTATCTTGTGCAACTCTGAATTGCAATTTCCATTTTTTTGCTTCAGCGAGTGCTGGATTTGGTCATTGTGGCAACTGAGAATGTCAGTATATCTCGCATGGAAAGGCTCTATGCTCTTCTTAGCCAGTGCATTTACCGACATCGGGAGGACGATGACAAAACTGAGTTAGTGAAGGTAAATTTTTTGTCTTGTAGCCCTTTGTGTCACATGCTATTGTACATGTGTGTGTGTGTGTTGTGTATGTGTGTGGGTGCACTGTGAACATCATGCTTATTTGGCATTACTCTGTACAGCTCAGTTGCCTGTCTCTCAAGGCTTTCATTTCAGCCTGGAAGACATTTATTCATATTGCAAAACCTTTGTTGTATGTAGCATAATTTTTGACAGTTTCAGCAGGAAAAGGCTTGAAGGCAATGAGTCCACCCACTCAGGGCTCTCAAACCATTTAACCTCAGTCTGTCAATAGTCTTCTCCAGAAGCCTTTCAGGGGTGGGAGGTTGTAAAAGGAGGGTGCATTTCTCAGTGTGTCACTTCCTCTTTCTCCCCTTGGAGGCAGGCACATGTGGTAATGCTTGTATAGTAGTAATTCCATTCTTGAAAAGAAATTAAGGATAAAGCATAACAAGAACTTGAGACTTTTTTCTAGTCTCACCAGACTTCATTTTTAACTAGCATGGCCCAAGCATCTTTAATTTGACAAATGGGGAGTTTTCTGCCTATGATAGTTTGCTAATGAGCCAAATTCTCTAGTCTTTCCCTCTGTGAGAGGATTTCTGAGTTGTCAGAACTAGGCAGAAATCTTCCACAGGCACCCATGGTCCCAGTTGGACATTCCTAGTATTCAGTTCATTAAGATAGGTTGGATATTCAGTCTTCAGCTTCAAGGCCTTTGAATCCCTTTGTCTTTCAGATGCTTGTGCCTGAGAATAGATAAAATTTGTTATGCCTCTCAGTCTGCCTTAAAAAAATGAGCAAGCCTGTTCTCTTTGGCCCTAGCCATCTTAATCTCTTCTTCCACAGCTGATAGTTAGAACAGACTCTGTTCTGATTGTGCAGGCCAGTCCTGAAAAATGCACCCACCCTTTTCTCATCTAGCATAATGATGTGGTGTGGTGTGAATAGGGAACTGTTTGTGTTATCTCAGTGCTTTTGAGCTTTTGTGACTGGACTTGATTTTTTGATTTGTTTTCTACTTCTATCTCAACCAAAAAACACCTCCTCTTCAGAGTACCTTGCATGAACTGATCAGGGGCAACCTTTGCTGTATATGAAGAGAGAGACTTTAACAAGTACTTAATCAGAGTGCAGAAAAGAACAATTCCAGCTTTTAGTTGTGGTTCTTTGGGAACTGCTTCTTTTCTTATTGTTGAAACCATCATTGATAAAGATCCATGGTCCCATAATACAGATTCCTCCAGTCTCTCTAGCCTGCTCTGTATTTTGGGTGCCTAATGATTTGTTTGAAGCTAACAGGTCTAGAAAGATGTTAGCACATGTATTGGCTAAACATGTAT